GAAAAAGTGTTTTTATTTGATATTAATTATGGCAAAACTAGGTTGTTGAAACAAGAATGTAATCAAACTTTATAAGAGTCATGTGATCTTTGTGGGCAGGTACACTCCCATCACCATGTATACGTTATTTCTGGAGCAGAGGAGGAGGAGCCAAGAATTCATTTGACAGCAGCAACCTACGTGACTTCTGAGCTCTATTGAATGTTTGGCTCCCGTTTGACAGTTTGACTCGGCTCCCAGATGACAAGCAATTGGAGTTAGTTCGCAGTACTCAGTTCTGGATGTGTGACGAATGCAGCAAGTTGATGACGTACGCCCGATTCAGAACCACTGTTTCATCCCTCGGCAACGTAATTTCGACGGTGATAGCAACAATCAATACGAAACTAACGATTTTAAATTGGCTCACTACTTGACTAGCCTATTGGTCCCAAGCAAATCGATTAACGTACCCCGTTCTAGTCAAAATTGTAGTACTACACTATGTTTGTTTTGATTCGCTATGAAAGTTTGACAGATAAAATTAGGGGTTCGTGAATTTTCCTATGTTTCGGGGGGTGCATCGATTAGCTTGGGACCGAAGAGAGTACCAGCAACAATCAATACGAAACTAACGATTTTAAATTGGCTCACCACTTTAGTAGCCTATTGGTCCCAAGCAAACGATTAACGTACCCTATTCTAGTTGAAATTCTATTACTACACTATGTTTGTTTTGATTCGCTATGAAAGTTTGACAGATAACATCAGGGGTGTGTGGATTCATGCAGAACATGCAGGGGTGAGTGAAATAGCTTGGGACTGCTTGGGACCGTTATTCTGGTACTGAGTGAGCCAAAAATAATAATGATTTTCTTCGGGACCCAGTGGTCTTAGAGTTACCTCTATGGTGAAACCGTACTGAACAGTTCCGCAATTTAAAAACTCAGTGAAACCAACAATCAATACGAAACTAACGATTTTAAATTGGCTCACCACTTTAGTAGCCTATTGGTCCCAAGCAAACGATTAACGTACCCTATTCTAGTTAAAATTCTATTACTACACTATGTTTGTTTTGATTCGCTATTATGAAAGTTTGACAGATAACATCAGGGGTGTGTGGATTCATGCAGAACATGCAGGGGTGAGTGAAATAGCTTGGGACTGCTTGGGACCGTTGTTCTGGTACTGAGTGAGCCAAAAATAATAATGATTTTCTTCGGGACCCAGTGGTCTTAGAGTTACCTCTATGCTTATATCATGTAATATAAGCTGGCTTGCAATGAGCACTCATATATAGGATTTCCAGTGAAAACTAGATGTATGAGTGCTCATTGCAAGCTAGTCTATATTACATGATATAAGCCATAGTCTGTCCGGGGTATTACCATAGAGGTAACTCTAAGACCAGAAGGTCCCGAAATAACGTGCACAAGTTTTTGGCTCAGCTCTGGTACTCTCTTCGGTCCCAAGCTAATGATTCACCCCTCGAAACATAGGAAAAACCAATAACCCCTCATTTTATCTGTCAAACTTTCATAGCGAATCAAAACAAACATTGCGTAGTACTAGAATTTCGAATAGAATAGGGTACGTTAATTGTTTGCTTGGGACCAATAGGCTAGTCAAGTGGTGAGCCAATTTAAAATCGTTAGTTTCGTATTGATTGTTGGTATTACCATAGAGGTAACTCTAAGACTAGAAGGTCCCGAAGAAACGTGCTCAACTTTTTGGCTCAGCTCTGGTACTCTCTTCGGTCCCAAGCTAATCGATGCACCCTTCGAAACAAAGGAAAATCCACGAACCCCTCATTTTATCTGTCAATCCTTCATAGCAAATCATAACAAACATAGAGTAGTACTAAAATTTTGACTGGAATGGGGTACGTTAATCGATTTGCTTGGGACCAATAGGCTAGTCAAGTAGTGAGCCAATTTAAAATCGTTAGTTTCGTATTGATTGTTGGTATTACCATAGAGGTAACTCTAAGACAAGTAGGTCCCGAAGAAACGTGCTCAACTTTTGGCTCACCTCTGGTACTATCTTCGGTCCCAAGCTTGTCGAATCACCCCTCGAAACATAGGAAAAACCAATAACTCCTCATTTTATCTGTCAAACTTTCATAGCGAATCAAAACAAACATTGCGTAGTACTAGAATTTCGACTAGAATAGGGTACGTTAATCGTTTGCTTGGGACCAATAGGCTACTAAAGTGGTGAGCCAATTTAAAATCGTTAGTTTCGTATTGATTGTTGGTATTACCCAAGAAGTTTTCGTTCTAAAGTCATGAAAAACAAGTGTTAAATTTTTATGTTATGTAATAATATTATTTCGTTTTGTATTATCGCTCAACTTTACGTGGAATATATCGCGAACTGATAATTATTAATTTACAGGCAACCAATTCGCGATATATTCCACATAAAGTTGATCGATGTTACAAAACCATTCATGGGCCTTACTGACTACCATAACCATAACCATTAATGTTCTCAAACCATAAGTAAAAACGTTCTAATATAGTTCTCGTCCCGAAAATGTATGGAGAAAACAAGAATTTGAAATGGTAATGGTTCTTAACAACCCATTATTTGTAAGGTCCGCTTCCTAAAAACCATAATACATAAGGTTAAAACTTTATCACACAAACGTTCATGTAAGGTTCCAAAACCATTTCAGTTAAAGTTAAGGAGGGATTATAAACAATTTATAACCATTATCGGTAAGGTCAATTTATGGTTCGCGTTTATGCGGGCTGCTTGTTTTCTGACTAACGTCACTTTGATCGTTTGTTTTTAAAACCTACCTCAAGTTGAGGTTCGCACTGACAAAAAGTTCGGTTTCGCACAAATTCGCTATAGAGTTTTACAAATACACAAAAGTGTGCGTGAGACCGCACGCTACCTTTTTAAGTAATTGTGATATCGCGATACCTTTTTGGTTCTTCTTCTTCTTAATTTTTATATATGGATGTTGGATTTTAGTGTTCGTGAGATTGTGCTTGGAGATCTCTATTAGGTCGTGTTCGTTTTTACGGTGTAGCTACACTGGTGCTACCCCGCCGAACACCGAAAAAAAATCAGGGTGTAGGTATCGGTTGCACCTTTGTTTACAAACAAATGATGATGAGTTGTCAATGACTCGCTCTTATAGTCGCTATATATAGCTAATATAGCGACTAAACTCGCGCTTATTGCTGCTTACACTACACCGGTGTAGTGTAGCAAAAACGAAAACGAAATTAAGCACTTGTATCATAGAGGTAACTCTAAGACCAGAAGGTCCCGAAGAAACGAACTCAACTTTTTGGCTCAGCTCTGGTACTCTCTTCGGTCCCAAGCTAATCGATTCACCCCTCGAAACATAGGAAAAACTAAGAACCCCTCATGTTATCTGTCAAACTTTCATAGCGTATCAAAACAAACATTGCGTAGTACTAGAATTTCGACTAGAATGGGGAACTTTAATCGTTTGCTTGGGACCAATAGGCTAGTCAAGTAGTGAGCCAATTTAAAATCGTTAGTTTCGTATTGATTGTTGCTTGTATCCCGACAAACCGACATGACGCTTAATTCTGACTTATGCCCGAAAATCGTAAAAGGCCGATTTGCAATGATCCGAATGTGCAGTGATCCGAACTGTTAAAACCATAGGATTTTTGATCTAGATAAAAATAATTTGTCCAGAATAGGTCAAACACGAACCAATTCATAACTAAACCAGGGGCCTTATTATGGGTGTCACTACACGGTGATAAGGAAGTGATACGGTGATACTCAGAATAAGAGCCGTGATTGCCGTACAAATCAAATGGGAATCACTTCACCGTGACGACAAGTGACAAGTTTTCACCGTGTAGTGACATCGGTAATAAGCGCCCAGGCTTAGCTAAATATTTCCCGCGAACACGGAGCCAGATGTCAGTTGTGTGCTTTGGTCATAAATTTTATTGTTTTTGCTATGGTCATTCATGTCGGTTTGTCGGTGCCAACAGTTCCTTATTGTGATTGTGATCCACCGCTTTATGTCTTGGGCAGTGTCCGGGAACCCAGACGAAGGTTGTTTATTTAGGAGCGAACTGCTGGATGCCCTGGATCCAGGGGCGTTAAGCCGTTTCAGAATATGACGATGGGTTTGTTGGCGAGCAGGGTGGCAGCTACTAGAATGGCGGCTGCTTCAGCAGTGAAGACGCTACAGGGGTCTGGTAGTCAGTAAAAGTAAAGAGCCTGAATATATAAAGAGACGACATCTTATCCATTTGACAGGTCTTCTGCTCGATTGGAATGACTTTTCCTATGACTTTGACAGACAATCGATTGTTCCAATTTTGACATCGCCTCTTTATAAATTTAGGCTCTTTAAGTAAAAGGTGCAAAGCAGTTATTTTCTTTCCTGATCTAACCATGAAGCAAAAAATGTTATAAGTTTGGTTGTTGATAGCAGTTTTATTTTTTTTTTGTTTTTTTTTCCACATGTTTTGATCTAAAATCTTTTCTAAACATATTTCTCACAATAACAAATTTCAGGTACGGTGATTTCGTTTGTTTTCACACATCACTTATATACGCTTCGGTCGTGTTTCCTTGTTTGATTTTTTTTTTTCCTTAGACTCCTATTTGAAATTATAGGAAATAGATTTAGAACTAACTTCATCAATACAATGTTTCTTCTGTATTTGTTTTTTTTTTTTTTTTAACTTCACAAATCAAAGCCAATCAAAACTGCTATCCCGGGGAACAAGTAGTGATCTGATCGAAGATGGTCGGATTTTTTCCTTACCTATTGTTGTTAACTATTGTTTGAGCAAATTTTGCCTGTTCTTGAAAATGGCCAGCGACTGTCGTCGCTTCGCGAGAATTTTTGAACTTCGAAAATTGTATAAGGCAAATTGGGGGTGGAGGAACTTTTCTTTTGAAGGGTTAAAACTTGGCTTTGATTTGTGATGAATCTCCGTCATGCTTCTGGGGGACGTTTTCATGGTGATGTTCGTTTTAACGACGTCCATAGTTGAAGGATTTTCTTCTCTTCTAGCATTTGTCTTCTGTTCGTGTAAATAACAGGTACTTTGAAGTAATTGTTTTCTCTTCACCGGTCTAACTCGCTGTTTTGCACATCCGCGTGGAAGTTAAAAAATAGAATTTCCTAGTCAAAACAAGACAAATGCTTCCATTACTGTATCTTGCAGTTATGCAGCAAGTATTCACAGAACGCTTTGAAAGTTCTGTAAACGTAAAGCGTTTTGCGAACACCCCTACATCATTTTATTTATGGATAATAAAAAATAGAAATCCTGTACTTCTGTAAAATCTTTTAGTACGAAACATTGGCAGTCAATGCGTTCGAATACTGAAAATACAAATCTAGATTGCACTTAAAATGGAAAAGCTATCCAGCGGAATTCTAAGGCAAAGTAGTACAAAAGAGAAAGTATGCTACTGTCCTAAAACGTTATTTATTGATAGAGATCACAATTGGTTTGCCTGGATTAACCATTGTTTACGATATTGATTCGATTGCTTCGTTTTGCTTCCGTTCAAACAAGCGACTCACCCTGTGTGGGGCTTTTTAGATCGAGTATTAGTCAAAAATGGTCACCCTAATTGACTGCAAATTCAAATTTACATACCGGAGATTCTGGATGTCAGATATTATGACGATGGCAAATTATACGTAAATTTGAATTTTTGCTAAGCTGTTCGATAAACTTTTACATTCCATTTTGACGTCGCTTGTTTTTTTTTTTTGAATTCTTGTTTCCGCTGTTTCTGGCCATTTAGCCATACTAAGAGTAAATCATAGATGATTTATTTTTCTCTCAAGTCGATCACTTTTTCCTCATTCTTCAAATACGCTTGAAATGCCATGTCTGTCTAACTCGGAGCATCTTTCGAATGATGGAAAAAGCTGTCAACGCTAAGGATGTTTTAAAAAAGGAACACATAGATTTATTCCCATCGAAAAACCGACGAATTTTGCTATTAGTTAGTGCTTCCGTTTCACAGCTTAGGGTGGTTGTTGTTGAATTAAAGCCGAAACAGAAACACCTATCGATTTTATTGAGATTAAATACACAGGATAGCGGAAGAGTTTACTTTTCAGAAAGCTCATCCCGTTTCAAATATGACCTGGGAAAAGCACCCGCAGATCGTGTGTTGTTAGTATGATCCTGTGTTTTTACTACCGTGGAGAACCAATCCTTCTTAAACGAAGGATCCGGCCTCCGTTTGCTTATCCTATACTGAAAGTTGTCAATCGAAACAGCAGAACATCGATTGAACTGGGCTTGAGTAAACTTATCGGAACAGGATGGTTTTAATTCAATCGAATTGAATCTAGTGCCCAGTTCAGTTGATATCATGAGCCATTTCTGCAACAACGGTATTTTCTGAATAATGAAATGAATCCGGAAATCATTCGTACGGATTTTGTGACATATGTTCCTCCATTCCGATATTCTGCTTGATATATGAATCCATTTTCCGGCACAGTAATGCATTTTCCGGTGGAGCAATGCATCGAAATGGAGAAAATACAGCCACAGGAAAAAAAAAGAATTAAAGAGAATGATTGAGTCTTTAGATACAGATAAAGACCACACACAATGGTTTTGTGGTTGCGAAATTAGAAATGATAGAATATGCTACTCTGTTTACCAAGTTTTCATTGTTCCAATTAGTTGCATAAATGTTTTGAATGAAAGGGGAGACGCGTGTATGTAACGGTTTTGGTCGGTTTTCGTATGTTTCAACAAGTTTTATCACTCTCTAATTTTGATCGAGAGGGCAACAATTATCGATTGTTTGCTTTTCTTCCCGCACTCTGCCCCTTTCACCGTGAGCACAGAACCAAAATGTACATTTTTTCTAGGTTTTGTAGTTAAGTAAAGTCCACATGAAACTTAACTCTTACAAATTCATTTTTGTCAAAAAACATAAATAACCGGAAAATAAACCAACAAAAACTGGATTATGAAATGATCTTTTCTATGACATGAATTGATGAGGACGTTTGAATGAGCCCGATTGTTTGATGGGCTGCGAGCGGAACACCTTGCGCCTTACGCATTCGAGAAACTACTATCAGTTAGAAGAGTAGTCTTTCTTGTTAATTAACTGTATACCTACTACTGCTGTCTGCTAAGGATATTGCCACACGCTCCAATATTTTCTCTCGCTCGAATGTTTTGACATCAATTTGCCATTTTACCTTGTTTGTATATTTCCAATTTCCCTTTGCAATTCTTCACTGTTTAAAAACGTGCCTCAAGCTTAACGACAACCCTGAAGGCGAAGATGTTCTTCCCTGTTTCACGTGGTTTGCTGGTAGGTAGTTCCTGTACTCGCCTTAGTTTTTGTCTGTAGTTGTAGTTGGTGTAGATGAGTGTCTTTGTTATTACTAATCGAGTCTAGCTGATTGCAGATTATGCACACTTCTTCTTTGAGTGGTAGGAAGCAGAATTGAACTCGGCACTCACGACGACGCTAGCTTCTCGGAACTCGTTGATTCACATTCCCCCTGACAAGGAAAGATGTTCCTGCGGTCTTATCGACTCCAAATTGTCTATTTACAAAAACGGGTTTCTGATCGTTCCCTTCCTATCGATGATTGCTACCAGTGCCGATTCGTTCGCCTCACATGTGCTCTTCATTTCTGCAGCCACTTTTACTGTCTACAATTTGTTGAGATACCAAAAAGTGTTGGATGTTGTTCTACACCTTCTTTTTTTCCTCGATGCCTACACATGGATGATCCCATGCTTGTTGGTTTGGTTGATTTGCACATCATTTCACTCTTACATCCGTCCTTGCACGCGATTATCTCGGTCACTCCAGGATTTCTCCGCAGGCACTCGAATCCCAATACGTCTTTCGCACAATAGTATAGTAGTTTAAGGTTGTGGGTATTTGTATGAATTCATCAGCATTTTCTTCCCTCCTCCAATAGAACGCTCTCAAAAAAGTTTTCCATCCGTTGAACAAAAAGTGTAATAATTTGAAGACTCCATTTCTCTCTGTTGTAGCTGTGGATGTGACGACTGCGTAAACACCCACGACTGCCCGGCGATCCTTCCTCCTTCCTGCTTGCTTGCTTGCTCCCATTTCAACCAACTCCATGTTCATTTTTCCTGGTGTAATTCTTGTTTTTTTTTTTAATTTTCTTACGGATCAGCGCTGCTGTACTTTTTGTGTCAGGCTGTGACTGTTTTCTGTTGATCGGGTGGATTCGCAAATAGCGTGATCACCGGTGCTGCCGAGGGATGTACTACAACAGGTCAGCACATCTTTACGTGGGGACTACTACTGACTTATTTGCTAATGTTTTGTTCCTCATGTGTGCTATTTTGATCCTCCGGTCGAGGCACATAAAGGGCGGGATCGATCACCTTCGGGATGGGCTTAATTTCAGTGCCCAGCTCCTTCTCAATGCGGTGAAGATCGAATCGATCTTCGTAGGTGATCAGATTGATGGCGATACCTGTGCGGAAGTAAGTAATAAGATGGAATTCGTGATTAGTTTGAACAGATTTTTCGGAGCTGTTAGCAAGTGATAAAATTTCCTTTTAAACAATTACAGAAAAAAGTAAACATTTCAGTATAATCTGGAACAAGTTAGTCGAGTGAAGCGGTTTAAGCAAGGTTCTGTAGATACAAGTCGCCTTAGGGATAAGTTAAAAATCTAGAGTAACATTTGAAATGGGCCTATGTCCAAAACGTAAACAAATCGGGTTTTGATACCATTCTTTAGCACCGCTTGATAGCTACTAATCGTGTAGGAAAGTTCCGCATAATCGAGAAAAATCATTAAAAATAACTCGATTTTCGAAACGGCCGATCAACGAAATTTTTCGATTCATGAATAGGCCCGCACGCTGAAACGGCCAACCATTCATTTATTTCATTTCATTGATAAGCCTAGTGACGTAGAAGGGCCGATGATTGAAAAATTTCAAACCAAAGCTAGGCCCTACTGCTTGAGGCAGGGCCGATGATTTGTTTTGAATTTATTTGACGTTGCGAAAAGGCTTAGCAAAGGGCCTACCATTTCTCATGACAAGCACAACGGCTTAACAAAAAGGGCCTATCCATTGAAAAATTCACAAAAAAGGCTTATTAATTTATGAAATTATATTGTTATCGATTTTCTTATGTTTTTGAAAGATTTTCGTATATTTTGGATGTTTTATACTGAGATACAGTTACTATTGTTATTGTGAACAACTACTAAACTAAAATACTTCAATTTTCTTAAATATGAATTGAATTGGGGCGGTCAAAATTTAAAATTCATTTTCTGGTTTGTTTACGTTTTGGACATAGGCCCATTTCAAATGTTACTCTAGAAATGGTCAACTTCAGTCCAACAATTGTTAATAGATCCAAGTTTGTAAAGGGTTCTTTTTTTTCAAGTACAGTAGGGGAAATGACGGCTTCGGCATGACAGACTATTTTCGGCAACCCAAATTGAAACACTATTTTCACTGGATTTTCTTACGAAAACACTTCGCTGAATGCATGCAAGATTCTTTATGCTTTCAGCTTCAATTTGACTATATTTTTACCACAGAGAAAAAGCAATCTAGTTAGGTTTTCTTGAAATGCAACACACGCACTACAAATTGTAGCTGATTTCGAGTTGCCGATAATAGAACAGCAGATTTACATGCAGTTCAAATGGAACGGTTGCCGAAGAAAAACAGGTTGCCGACAATACTCGCTCTCAGAGAAGATTGGAGCTTTGCAAAACCGTTTCAATTTTGAGAATTCTTTCGACTGAAATTGTTAGAGCAGCTGGCAGCAAAAGATTGTAAACAAACCAATATTGCATAGGTATGTGTGCGTTCCTTAGAGAAAAAGGCTATAGAAAGAAGGTCGCTGGTTAGGTTGCCGAGAATACATTGGCGTTGACGGTGACTCTGTAGCTCTTTACTCCAATGAGAAAATCCATAAGCAAACGTCAGACTGTGCATGAAACATGGCGGACTTTGTACTATCCTTTCACTCCACCGAAAATTCCCATAAGAAACTGTCTATATTTGCTGGAAGAGACGATTTATCGACGGTGCCGTCAACGCCAATAAATTCCCCAAATTGATTTTTTATTTCTTGTTTTGTCGTGTCTCGAAAAAAAAATCGAGTTAAAAAAATAATTGAAAAATTCCGTTGAAGAATTCTAAAAACATTTTTCAAATCCGATAAATTTGAAATGTTTTGTAATCCTGACAGTGTATGCATCGGGGTCTTTTAAAAAAATATGTTCGAAAGTAGAATGGAAGGGTTCGCATTGACTTAGAAATACAACAGTACTCCTGCAATGATTTATGTAGGTATCTAGAAGTGCTCCTTGAACGAAAAAGCTCGAAAACCCCAGCCTTAGAAGATTCAATTGACGCAACATGTGACACTTACCGAGATGCCCGAAACGCCCGGATCGACCGATTCTGTGCAGATAGGTCTCCGCCATCTTGGGGAAATCAAAGTTAATAACAACGTTCACAGCCTGTACGTCGATACCTCGCGTGAAGAGATCGGAGCAGACCAGATTCCGGCACAGTCCGGATCGGAAGTCATGGAAAACGCGATTTCGGTGCGCCTGTTGCATCTTGGCGTGGATGTAGTAGCAACAGTAGCCAAGCTCGGTGATCTTTTTCGCCAGCAGTTCGACACGCTGTGTCGAATTGCAGAAGATGATCGATTGGTTGATCTGCAGCTTCGAGAACAGGGTATTGAGGCAGTGCACCTTCTGTCGCTCCTGGACGAACGCATAGTACTGGGTGACACCCTTCAGGGTTAGCTCCTCCATCAGGTTGATCTCGTATGGCTCGCGCAGATGCTTTTCCATGAAATTCTTCACGCTCAGTGGGAATGTCGCCGAGAACAGCAAAATCTGGCGCTCTTTTGGCAATTTCATAATGACATGATCCAGCATGCCCTTGAAGTCTTGCGACAGCAGCTTGTCCGCTTCGTCTAATACTAACATACGGCAGTTGGCCATATTCGCCACCTCCTTGTCCATCAGATCCAGTATACGGCCGGGCGTGGCGATGATCACTTGAACTGGGGAAGAGAATTTCCACAAACGATTAAAAATCTGCCCACTGGTCCCGACAAATGACGAATGATTCGGTCATTATCAGATAATTTGGCATTAAAGTTTTTGCATCAATGAATACCCTCGAAGGATAACTCAATGGCTGAGAGAATAATCATCACGTGAAACGAAATTATAAGCTTCCCATAAAGTTAACCCCGCCCCAGACTTACCTTTCTGATATATTCTCATAATATCATCCTTGAGGTTGGTACCACCGGTGGTCACCATTACCCGGATATGCATGTGCTTTGCGAGTTCAATGCAAATCTGTGATGTTTGCAGTGCCAGCTCACGCGTTGGCACAATGATCAGCGCTTGAATGTAATCCTTGGTCGGATCGATTTGCTCCAGTACAGGGATGCTGTACGCGCCCGTTTTGCCGGTACCGTTTTTGGCCCTCGCCAAGATGTCCTTACCTACTAGTGCGATCGGGATGGCTGCTTCCTGAATCGGGGACGGCTTCTCCCATCCCTTCTCGAAGATACCCATCAACAACTCCCGCTTTAGGCAAAACTCCTCAAACTCGTTACCTCGAGTATCCGTTACATCCTACAGGGGGGTGAAAAAACGAGACAACGAGACGATTAAGAATCTTCGCACATGACTTATCTTCAAATGACGAATGATTCCGTCAAAATCAGATTCTTTGGCATTAAAGTTTTTGCATCAATGAATACCCTCGAAAGGATGACTCAATGGCTGAGAGATAATCATCACGTGAAAAGATATAACTAGATAGAGCTGGAATTAGGGCCTAACAGCTTTTGTAAACAATGACTTCAATCGATGATTTTTAGAAATTCAAAGCTCGCCCACGCAAACCAATGTTGGTCTGCGTGGGCGTGCTTTGAGTTCTTAGAAATCATCGATCGAAGTCATTGTTTACAAAAGCTGTTACGCCCTAATTCCAGCTCTATCTAGATAAGAGCTACTCATAAACCATGCTCAAGAAAATGCTTACACTTGTCTTAATTCTATTATCTTTGGGCGGTAATTTGAGTTTGGCTTTCCATCCCATGTCATCCATTTTGTTCTCGCTGCAAAGAAAGTGAAAAGAAAAAAAAAAAAAAATCAGTATCAATCAATAATCGCAACTGCAATAGCTGGCTGATATTTTGAAAGCCGACACTTACCCTTTCTGGCTGAGGTGATTATTAGAATTCAGCGTTTCAGTCATCATGATGATTGTAGTAGAGTGCGTCTAGCTTGGCTTGTTTTACTCTACTGGTATTTTTTCTTCTCTTACTAATGGATTCTGTTTTGTTTTACACTTATACTACAAACGTCACTGCTTTGCTTTTCCAATAGTTATAAAAAACGACTCGCGGGATGATGTGCTCTTGCTCGTATTTTATCGTAGAACCGCGCTCTTCCACTCCGTTACCGTTTTGCTTTGCTTCTTTTCTGTTTCACGGGTTAAAACTATTTCTTATTTTTAGGTTTGCTTACAACTTCAGAGGTTGACGTGTACTCACACTACTTCAAGTTCTTTTGCTTTTTTTCCGTGTAATCTGTGTATATTTTTCTTGTTGTTATCTTAGGATCATTTGCTTCGTTTGGATCCGTTCTTCAACTTGATTTTCTTCGTGTTTTGTTTTTACAGCTAATATATAAATAATAAATTAAAAAGTCTTGCTCTCTTCACTTCTTCGATTTCCTTCTCTTTTTTTTTTGCTCTAGGATGGTTGTGTCTCTTCTTATCACTTAAAAAACTTTTGTAACACCATGCACTTTGTTTGAATATTACGATTGATAAGTCTTTTTTACTGTACAATTAAATGTGCTATTTTTTTTATTGGTTAGTGAGCTGCCACAAACTCGACACAAATCGTCGGCTGGGCCCGGTTTCGCTCAATTGTCTGTTTTGTTTTGTTTTTTCAACGCTTTTGATTCGACAGAGAACTTGTTTCTTCTTCGGAGGAGGAGGATCACAGTTTTACCGACACATCTGGGCTGGGCGTTTGCTAATTTGATCACAGTGTCGTCTTTTTCGCTCGGGGGAATAATCTCCCGCAAAGGATGATGTTCGAACACCAAAATGCTCGTGCAGGATTGCAGTCGTATGCTTACCCCCGTTTGCTCAGATGTACAGATTTGCTGAAAAGATGAGAAAAAAAAACAAACCATTAACGCATTATAGTCAAGTCATGTGAAGAAGGCAGCGAAAAATTTAAGCGATTACGAAGGAAATGCTCCGTTTTTTTTTCGACCTTCTCGGTCTCATCGATAAGGCGTCGTGCGATAACAGCGCAACCGATTTACTAGTTAGTAGCAAGGTGAAACCTCTACGATAGCTAAAGTTACGTACTTAACCACATAAATCGAATTGATAACGTGTCCTTTCTTTTAAGCGTGGACACTGTGCAAGTTCCGTAAGAAAAACAATGTTTGAAAAATTGCAGCGATGCAAAAAAAAAAGTTTGGTGCTTTGTGACTAATCAAAAGCAAATTCAGGTTTAGCTGGAATGTTTATAAATTTGTTTACATCCTGTATAAGCTTTACTTTAAGTCCGAATTTGATCAAGCTTCAGTTTGGCATTATGACCAAAAGGAAAGTGAGAGAATGGAGGTTATTCCGAAAGTCGAAGCTAGTCACTAGTGAAGTTAGAATAGTCACGTCACCACGACTTGACTTTTCTCACTTCACTAGTGACAAAAGCCACTTCGACTCTCGGAATAACCCCTATTGAGACTGAGTGTTGGTAAGTGAATGATACGCCAGGACGTGAGAAGTGGGTGGGTGAAAAATAAGTGAATGATAAGTGACTGTGTGATTAGTGACAAATGAGTTAGCATATGATTTTTTGCAATGTGATTAACAAATGATATCTATGTGTCGGACACATACTTAATATGTGTAACACTTAAACACCAATGCAATCAAGATAGACGCTGCTCGATTGGCTCTGGCTTTGACAGTTCGTTTGGTTAAAAGCCAGCCAGTCCGCTTCTCTTTTATACTAGACCCTCTCTAGTTTCGTCTAAAGAGGCTGAATTTATAAAGAGACAAAATTGGAACAATCGATTGTCTGTCAAAGTCATAGGAAAAGTCATTCCAATCGAGCAGAAGACCTGTCAAATGGATAAGATGTCACCTCTTTATAAATTCAGGCTCTTTAGTTTCGTCCTATTCGCCTTTAAAACTGATACCAGACAAACAGACATAAAACTAAAGTTGTTCATAGCACACGCAATTAAAGGTCAATTTAAATGTCCTTTAGTTGGTAATACCACCAACTGTGGAGCACATAGTCAATTCCCTTGCGTTTGACGTTTACACACTAACGCCATCTGTTCAGCGTACTACCCAGCAGATGGCGGTAATGTTTTAGCTACAATGTTTTACAGTGAGAATTATTCAATGCGTTATGTCTGTTTATCTGTGCGAATACGTTGTCGAATATGTTTATTTAACTTTCGCAGGCTTAGCCGATTTCTTAGCTCATATTTAAACATGTAGTCAAAAATCTTATCAACAATCAGTTCCAGGGCTGATAGTGGGTATGTGATGTAATAGCACCGACAAACCGACAAGAAGGACCATAGCAAAAACAATAAAATTTATGACCAAAGCACACTACTGACATCTGGCTCCGTGTTCGCGGGAAATATTTAGCTAAGCCATGAACCCGCATGCAGAAGTTTAAAATTGGTTCGTGTCTGATCTACTCTGGACAATTTTTTTTTATCTAGATCCAAAAATCCTACGGTTTTGACAGTTCAGATCGCTGCACATTTAAATCGGCCGTTTATGGTTTACGGACATAAGTCAGATTTAAGCAGGGTGGCCATTGAATTTTTATTTTCAAATTCCCGGTTTTCCCGGTTCAAATCTTACAAATTTCCCGGTTGTTAATATTTTACAAAAAACGAAATTGAATGTAAGGAAAGGAGTTTACTAAAAGGATAAAATAAAAGTGATTAAGAAGGTTCCCAAGATTCTGGGGCTTTGAAATTGGCGTAGTCTAAAACTAGAACTTTTCTTCAAAATCTGTGATTAATAACCATCTTTGTGATGCAAGATTTAGAGAAAAAATAAATAAAATGTGAGATAAATTTTTTTTTCAAGATCACATATTTGAAGAAAAAAATCATTCGCTCTGAGACTTGGAAACATTTTAAGGATGATAACAAATTACAGAACAATCGATAGAATCTAGCGGACAAACCCTGGAATTTTCAGTAAAATTTAAAAGAATTCAAAGCGTTTTCGAAGGAGAAGTTCTGAGCAGAATTCTAGAATTATTCTGACATGAAGTCCTTAGAAATTGTTAGATGAATTTGGAGGGATTTCTTTGGAGAAGAATGCAAGTTCTAAATAAAATTCTTAGGTAGTTTTAGAGGATTTCAAAAGGAGTTGTGAAGAACAAAACTTTAAGGAAAATTCCTACGTGATTCTGAACAGATTTGTATGGGACGGAGATGAACTAGCCTACGAAGATGAACAACGAAAAATTATAACCCCGGAAAAGAATAATTCAGTTTCGCTTTTTAAAAATATTTGTTTCTAAAGTCCAGCATCTTCAATATTTTCTTTTAAGGCCCATGTACTTAACATCTGAAATTGAAACGACAAAGATTAATTTGCAATATTGCTGAGTGATTAAATTCTTAGCACATTAAGACGACAAACTGAAGAAAATTATGCACTAAATAGAGCAAGACATTTATTTGGTAAAGGATCACTCTGTTGTAATGGTTTATTCTGGAATTCTGGTGTAAAAATGTGTTCCTATGGTGTGGTAACGCCCAATTCTTACTTCCACTTCTAACTCACTCTGCACATTTTTGTCTATCTTGGTTTTTAAACAAACTATTTACTAAGTTTATACTTGATGCAAATCGTGGATCTTGATTAGATCGCAATGAAATCTTGATTCACCGAAACTGAATTATTCTTTTCCGGGGTTATAATTTTTCGTTGTTTAAAATTCTCATGATATGAATTCCAGAATTAACTTGAAATTCTGCTCTGAATTATCATGGAATTCTTCTGAAATAAACCAGAAAACACTCCTCGTAATAATTACTGTTGAATTCTTTTTGGAATTTCCTTGCAACACCTTCTCAGAATTTAATTGGAATCCTTCTTAGAATTTCCTTGAACCTATTCGGAGACTTCGATTCCTTTGAAAATCTTTTCAAAAATTTCTGTTAGCTCTTTTCAAAACAGCAGAAATCTTTCGAAATTTTATTAAGAAACCCTTTGAAGTATTTTAAACAATTTATTTCTAAATATCAGCATTTTTTGCAATCAATTTTGTTGGAATTCTGTGATGAATCTTTCGCACTAGGTTTGAAATTATTGCCAGAACACTCTTATAGAACTCTGTTTCTTGTTGAGTTTTGATCATGATTCTCTTCTTTAAATTCATCTGTCATTTTCCTCATGATCCCCATACAAATATTTTTTCTTTTTTTTAATGATCAAATTCAAGGATTTAGACCAATTTAGACAATTTTAAAGATCTAGGATATACACACACAGGAGAGGAACATCGGATCAGAAAGTGGCTCCACTTATGATTTGCGAACACTAGCGCACCTAGCGGTAGAAGGCATTTTCTGCCTACAGTTAAGATAGGCAGCATGCTATGATAGTGTGAGTGCACATAGAAAGCCCGTGTGGAACGCTACCAAAAACCCATCGCTTGTTGAGCAGAAAAATGAACCACTTTTTGATTCACCGATTTGTTTGCACTTCCTCTTCTGTTCTGTGATATACACCGGCATGCGCCGCTATTATATTGAACACAGCCTTAGATGAAACGATGCATTTAACAACGTGAAGAACTGCAGTCTAGATTTAATATGATTTTCATTTTGGTTTAGCGAGTTTAGCAAGGGGGTCTTATGAAGGCCAAATCTCAAGGCCACATTCCAGACCGTGAGTGGATCATGGTGATCACTTCTAACTATGTCTAAAATGAACCACATGCCCCAAACAACCTCTAGAACCTCTCCCATACACTCTCCATGCTGAATCTTGAGTCCCCTCATATCATTGCATGCGAAATAATAACCTAATGCAGGTCAATTTAATATGCCTAAATGAATTACAGTCAACTCTCCACAGCTCGATGTCCGCTAAATCGATATCGAGCTATAGAACCATAAAGGGCGAACACGAAATTATTGCCACACATTCAACAGGGCATAACTTTTTACCATTGGGTAAAAATCAACCAAATTTTGCACACTTTCTCATTGATGTGTATTATTGTGTACATGCTGTCAAACTCGAAGTCGTGTTTTTCGATTCAACGAAAATGGAGGTGAACCAACGCGAGTTGAGAGAACAAATTATTTCCAAACACCTGGAATTTCCTGACCTGTCGCAGTTGGGAAAAATGTTGAACATTCACCATTCAACCGTCTCCAGAGTGTTGAAGCGGTTCCAAGAGCGGTTGACGTTGGACCACGGCAAAGGAGCTGGAAGAAACCGGGACCGGAGAACAAAAAGACGGAGGGAAAGGTGAAGCGGATGATTAAAGCAAATCCCAACGTCTCAAGCCATGATTTGGCTAAAAAGATCGGCATGTCGCAGAGCTACGTCCAGAATGCAAAGAAGAGAGCTGGACTACATACATACAAGGTACAGAACTTCCAAAACCGCGATGAGCGGCAACAATCGACGGCTAAAACTCGGGCACGGAAGCTCTACGAGAAGATGCTGACAAAATATGGCTGCTGTGTGATGGACGACGAAACGTATATAAAAGCCGATTTTAAGCAAATTCCGGGGTTGGAGTTTTTCACCGGCAAGAGCAAGTTCGATGTGGACGACAAATTTAAGAAGAAGAAAATGTCGAAGTTCGCCTCCAAATATCTCATTTGGCAGGCCATCTGCTCTTGCGGACTGAGGAGTGAGCCTTTCGTGACAAAGGGCACAGTAAATGGCGAGATCTACAAATCTGAGTGCCTCGAGAAGCGCCTTTTGCCGTTCTTGCAGCAGCACGACGAAGCTCCGCTATTTTGGCCAGATTTGGCATCATGCCACTATTCTAAAAGTGTCCTGGAGTGGTATGAGGCCAATTCTGTCCATTTTGTTCCAAAGGACATGAATCCGCCAAACTGTCCGGAGCTGCGCCCGGTGGAGCAGTACTGGGCAATAATGAAGCGGGAACTTCAGAAGAGCAAGAAGACAGTCAAAGACGAGAAGGACAACATATATTATAAGAAAATTGGCATGACATTTTCGGTGTCGCAATAATTTCGTGTTCGCCCTTTAGTAAACATGAAATTTCATGGCTACTGTGGTGGTGGTCTCCTATGGGGATTGGTGCTCTATAACTCGATAATTCTATAACTCAATTGTCCCTTCAATATCGAGTTGTAGAGAGTTTGTTCACTGTAGTTGTAATTATAATATGAACAATAATGACAGTATAATATACTAATTGAATAAAATGAATATTTATCTGTTAATAATGATCGAGATTGGTGAAAAGTAAGGGACGTTGTTAATTGATTTTATCACCACAGAGTTAGTGACAATAGCGCGATTGTATATTATTATGATGCTGATTAGACGAATCCTGGGAAAGCATCATCTTCGTCGTTAGAGAAACCTCTGAAATCCGGGATGTTCAGTTGATCATCGCTACTTGATTGTGGTAAGCTCCAACCGGTATTATCCTCGGATTAAATCCCTATCAAGAATCTCCGGCTGCGTTAATCAATGCGAACATAAGCAAATATTTCGCATTTCATCCAAACAGGAACGGTATCAAAAGTTAATCCGAGTTGAATCTTACCGCCATGAGAGTCTCTTCCGAGTCATCGTTTTCTTATTGCAACATTTCAGTGAACATTCTTGTCGTGGCTGTTTTAAACTCTCTTCAGTTATTAGTCACCTATTGGCAATAATCCGCCGATCGACCGCTTCCTTCTACAACGTGCCTTGCGCTGGTATTCCATGTTAAGCATGGTCTCCAATTTTCTTCTTTTCCGGGATCCCATACTAAAGAGCTTTCCTGATAATCTGTTTTGATGGTTCTGTTTTTATGAAAATAAAATGATGTTCTATCCCTCTATCATGGTTATATGTTGATCCAGCGTGCAGATAGTTAATATCGTTGACTTATTCAAAACTTTCTCGCCTTGATCTGAAGAAAAGAAAATCGCCACTCAATCACACCAAATTCAAAGGTAGCTTAACTGTGTGATGTCGCATGCCAAAAGTTTTGAACCAAATAATAACATTTTTTTAATTTTTGCGGCCATTAGACTCAATTATTTAGAAAAAAAAACAATTCATAGTTAAAATGATAATTCGATACATACTACACTAGTACATAGTTGAATTCCAACTAACTTTTGGTCCATCACAATTGGCTAGGTGCATCTTTCAAAATGCAAAGATACAGACAAGACCTGGGACCTGGTTGTAGTTAAGCATTCCTCAAGGTTATGCCAATGCCCAGGGAAGAACTGCAGTCTAGATTTAATTGTAGATCTATGTTAGCCATGAGTATTCAAAAAAAAATTCTCTTCTTTGTAGCCGCTATAGCGACCATAGATTTTCAGAATTTGGCAAATCGCAACCAATTATCAAGTTACACTTTGAAATGTATGTTAGGCTTTTTTTTCCTTTGGTTTTATTTCGGACTTCAAATAATAAAAATTGAAATTGTATTGAATTCAGACAAGTGGAACTAAACCGCGACATACCGAAAAATCTGGAGCCTCAAATGCAAATCCGCGCAAAACCGCGAAATTAATTGAGAACTCTTAACGCCTGTTATATGCCAACCAATGCATGAATTCTCGCGTAACATTTGCATGGGGCCTATCGATCAGCTTTTGTGAACAAGTCTTACCCTTTCGCGAAAACTGAAGTACGCCCACGCAAACCAAGAGTTATATTCGAAAGGTAAGAATTTCCCTAATAAAAATTATATGGTTAATTTGCTTAACGACGTGTTCTGGGTATCATCCAAACCATTTGTAGAATAGTTCAATGATTTGGGTTATCGTTCGTTTATGGTTATTTTTTATTAGGGTTCCCCTTCCCGATGATGTTGGTTTGCATAGGCGACCTTCGATTCGCTTGGAGAAGGCCTTACAAGTTTTGTTTACAAAAGCTTTTCAAATCAAGAACGACATGTGAAAAGGGCATAGAACTTTTTGTAAACAAACCTTATGCCCTTTTCTCGCCACCCATGTCACCAACGCAAACCATCGACATCACCGGTAAGGGGAAGCTATCTCCTTCCCAATGATGTTCTTGGTTTGCATGGGTGACCCTCGGTTGACGAGAAAAGGGCCTACAAAGGTTTGTTTACAAAAAGCTTGTATGCCCTTCTCACATGTGGCTCTTGAAATGATTTGTATATTGTGTGGCACAATGATTTTCTATGGAAAGACGAGAAAATTGCCATCCCCCAAGATTTTTCAGACCGAACCCGACTACTCCGGCTTGTTAATAAATACCGTGCCTTAACGGCCTCCCTCGTACTCCAACTTCCTAAAGACGTACACTGAACTTAACTGAGGCAAACAAACTTCTTATGTTATGTTGGTTTGCGTGAGTGTGCCTTGAATTCCTAGAAAGTATCGAGAAAAGCCATTGTTTACAAAAGCTGTTACGAGCTAATTCCAACTCTATCTGGACTTAGGAATTCCTTGGCTGTTTACACTTATGCTCAACCAACTAGCATGACTTGCAACTGTTCCTGAAATCTCATGCTGGTAGATGCTGACGCCCTGTTTACATTATGCTGGCTACTTTTTAGTACAGTTCTAGACACTAGCGCTAGCAGCCTTATGAAACTGGACAATTTTGATTTCATAAGACACGTATGAATTCTATAAGCGCGACTCATCATGATTGTCTTGCAATGTCTTATACGCTTTTAGCCTGGTCGACGGGTCCATACAAATTTCCAAAAATGTGTTACGACGTCTGCCTATGCAGGGGTTATACGTAGTTTATGAACAGCCCCTTGACTGCATTCAATTCATTTCAATTTACTACTACCTAGGGGAATCCATAAAACTGCTCCATTGTTATTTCCTTCCATTTTTATTAATTCTGATGAGCAATATGAACATGAAAATACTTCGGTGTATTGTATTTATCAGCAACAATAAAAAAAAAATCCTGAAGCAGTACCAATTTCAATCCTCCCGTTGAGGTTATGTCTGCCACAGCGTCGAAAATGGAGTATTACACGTAAGGTACACAGTCAAACAGTACAAAAACGCACACATAGCAAGAGACCAAGCGGGAAGCTAAAAAGAAGAAATTCCACCCGTCCTTCGTTCCGTACATTAACCAGCATTTTGAGGATGACTTTTTACGCTTTTTACAAATCGAGTTTTTATGCAATCACAGCAACTAACCGATAAAAGAGCTGACTGATGTCTATCACTCCAGCAGGGGGGAATTTGGTTTCAACTTCCTAAGTAGCAATTGTGGCCGGTTGAACATCGGAAGGAATATCGTTAGTTAAAGCGCAAGAAGTCTGTTGAACTCTCGCTTTTCATTTTACTTTCGACATTTAACATTCGTAAGGGTAGTGCCGAAATAATGTTAAAAATTTCTAAACTTTGCCACTTCTCTTTTGTGTCGCACTTTCTTTCAGCCAACAGTGGCTTCGTTTTCTTACTCGCTTCAGCAATATTCACCGAGACAAAAGAAAAGTGTAAATCCTGACGTCACTAAAAAATTCGTCGTCCACAAAACTCATCATTTTCAGCAACAAACCAGTATTTGCATACAATATCAAGTAGATTACATATTTTCCACCGATAAAACTGTAAAAATAGGACACAATTCAACAGGAAACCGCATTATTTGAGTGAAAAATCATCCGTCGACAAAATTAAATATGGCCTTCCGATCGCAGCGGCACTCATTTTTTTTTTCGGCTGCCATGTATAGCCATCAGCGAAACGTGTTCCATTTTTCGTAGTCACATTTCGATCACAAAAATCACGCAAAATTAGCCCCGATCTGCCACCAAAGTAAGACCAAAACATTCCCGAACCCTTGCTTACCTTGTAAGATTTTCGATTTTGCCACTGCTAATCTGTTTTGCGGTTGAATTTTTCTTAGATTTTATTCTTCAAACTTGCAAAAACTTTTTTCACGTCTTCTCTCTTGCGCTTTTACTTCTTTACTCGATGCCAACAATCGTATAATGAACAGCTAGCTGCCGCCGCTGTGCTGTGCGAGCTAGTCGTCCGGCTACGAGAAGATAACGGGCGCCCCGTTGCTGACGGATAGTGCCGCTTAACGAATCTCCGATGCTGCTGTCAAAAAAAATGGTGATGACGGTGCCTTTGTTGCTCTTTACTCTTATGGTAAAATCTCGTAAACAAACGTCAATTTGTGCGTGAAATATGGCGGACTTCATACTATCGCTTCACTCCACAGAAAATTTCCGTAAGAAACTGTCAATGAAGAGCCGATTTTCCGATGGTGCCATCAACGCCAATAAGTTTGTTATGCATGGGCGATGTTTTCGGTGCGCGACTGCCACATCGGCCAAATTGATACTGCTTGGGACTCAATACATCTTACACTGAACCAACGAGAAACGTAAATTTCACCTGAAAATTCAGGTAACTTCCTAAAGATAGTAATACCACAGACAAAGTAATACAGTACGAATTACTTGCTACACTTAATATTCAATGGCATGGTAATGAATTCAACTGGATTGACTGGTCGAGTTGAAGTGTCATACTGGTGAAAGTTATGTGAAATTCACGTAGGTTTTACGAATGAGATTTCTTTTTAGTGCTCTTTGCTTATTCATAAGTTCAATATGGTGACAATAGCAAATATGTGAACAATCCCTAGATCGTCTACTTGAAGTTTTCTAAGCGTGAGTTTAATATTAATAATTTAATCCTTGTTTATTAAATCCTAAATTAAATTGCAGAATGCGGAATCGGATTGATTGAGCTCCTCACAATCTCAATCCATATGATTCAAGATTTATTTCGACAAACGGAAGTCAAATGGAGGTTAAAAAAAGAAACGTTTGTAATCGAAATTTGAAGATGTCAATACACCAATACTTAATTTCCTGTTTCTACTATTTCATACAGAAAATGATTAATGAAAATGAAAATCTATGAGATAGAGTTGAATTGTAATCTAATAAAAAAAAAAATTAAATTTAGGGACTTTATCTGAAATTGAACAACATCGCAAATCAGTGAATTGTGTTTTTTTTTTGCTGTTTGAACTAAAATGCATTGTTTATGATAAATTCAATAAAATAATAAACCGAAATTAAAATTAAATCTACCACCTTTGAACTTGAATATTACTATAAAATCCAGTTACATTTACTTTAAAATTCACGTAGCTATTAAGTGAAACCTATGTGTAGATCATCAGAACGTTTGATAAAATTTACATGAAAATCACTTGATTTCTATATGAATCACATGGAACAGATTTTCATTCGCAAAACACGTAATTTTCACCTGAAGAGTACGATGGAAAATATCTACGTACTTTTTCAGGTGAATATTAAGTGAACTTTTATTATTATATATATATAGGGAAAATGGATGTAAATGCCCCTTATTTGGGCTCATACATAAATTCAGCAATCAACTAAATTTTCAATAGCGACCAAAAATATCCATTAGTACCGTCCCAATGTCGCGTTCATCTAGATAAAATTGATAAATAGCAAATTTTTAGCGATGGGCCCAATCTCAGATCCATAGGCCAACATTAGAGCCATTTCCCCTGTATGGCTTATCCTCGGGCTTGATTTGCAGAGCATGTATAAAGGTAGGGGAAACGCTCCTATAGTAGTTTAAGTAAAACATTCAATTTTTAACTTTTTTTCCTTAGTGAACGGATTTTAGTAAAATTAGTGTCATACACGGCGAATGAGAACACCCAAATTTGAGTTTAGTTAGCTCATAAATCACACAAAGTGCAGGAACTCAGCGATGAGTGAATTTTCCTTATGTTTTCCCTTGTTTTTGCAGGAAAAATATTCCCGTATATGAGAAAAGTAAAGATTGGATTCACTCAGTCTACAAATTAGCCAAATTTAAAAAAGATTGGTTAAATAAATTTCAAGCAAATTAAATTGTTCTTGATAAAAAGGCGTTTTCTGGGATAGGTCTAATTTCTTGCACACTCAACCATTCCTATGGCTACAATTTCTGTGCGTTTTATCTCCAATTGAATAGACAATATTATCTGTGATACTATACCGAGAATCCATAAATAAGCCATGAATTCAGTTATCATAATCAATCTAAAATTTGTTTATTTGCATCAACAGACTAGAAATAGTCCCAATGATGTGTTGTAAAAAAAAATACAGATTATAAAGACTACATATACTACAGTTACAAACGAAAATAACTAGGAAAGCATTGTCAAGTTACTAAAAATGTATAAGTCTTAATTTTTACACTCAGCATAAGACTGTTGCGTAGTGATCGAGGTTGAACATTAATGTTCACTTGTTGCAGAATTGCTTCGCAGTTGATTCTTCCTTGCAGAGTATCGGCGACGGTTAAGGCTCTGAAAACATCTCTTCGGATACGTGAGGGCTCAACATTGATCAAATTGGCGTTGACGGCACCGTTGGAAAATTTGCTCTTCCAGCAAATATAGACAGTTTAATATGGGAATTTTCGGTGGAGTGAAAGGATAGCACAAAGTCCACCATGTTTCTCGCACAGTCTGACGTTTGCTTATGGATTTTCTCATAGGAGTAAAGAGCTACAGAGTCGCCGTCTACGCCAATTGGCAGCGATTCTTGTAGTTTGGAAGACGAAGTGGGTATCTCCAAGGCAGCTTACGGAGCGCGATTCAATTCGCTTGGCCCTATTATTGTAGTTCGGGCTCCAGAGCAGTATTCCACCGTAGATCGTACGAGAGAGCAATAGAGCGATTTCAAGCAGTAAATGTCTGTGAAGTTCTTAGTAATCTTGAAGGCAAAGCCAAGAGTTCTGGACGCTTTGTCGACGACATACGATATATGGTGTCAGTATGTCAGCTTTGAGTCTAGAAAAACGCCTAAGTCTTTCACGTAATCCACCCGTTTGATAGTCGTGCCTAGTAGTTTGTAGTTGAAAATAATCGGTTGTTTCTTGCGTAAGAAAGTAATGATTGTACACTTAAGGGCCACCCACATTCGTTTGCGTTGCGTTGACGTAAATTTGACAGTTAGACAATAGATTTAGCTGTCACTTTGCCGCAACGCGTCCGATCCGGATCTAATGTGCGTGGGCCTTTAGCTGGGTTGACCATCAGTCGGTTTAGACTACACCAGTCAGCAAAGATGTCAGTCTGATTTTGGAGAGAACGGCAGTCGGCGAGTGAGTGAATGCGCAGAAAAACTTTCAGATCGTCTGTAAACGGTAATCGTGGCCCTGTGATAACATGGTGAACGTCGTCGAAGTAAAGGAGAAATACCAATGGTCCCAGATGGCTACCCTGAGTTATACCGGACTTTGCGCAGAAGCTTGCTGAGCGAGAAGTAACCAAAGTTACTGTCAGTTGGCGCTTCGTGAGGTATGAACGAAACCATCTCAAAAGATTTCCACCGATCCCTAGCCTATCAAGCTTAGCGATCGCAATTTCGTGGTTCAGCTTATCGAAGGCTGCCGTAAGATCTGTGTAGATATCGTCCGTTTGGGTCCGAGCAATCAAACTGTCTGTGATGTAAGACGTTAGCGTTAGGTACAGCAGGTTCGCAGTTGTGGAACGCCCAGTTATGAATCCGTGTTGATCTATACTTAGATTGCTTGCAATGCGCATTAAGGGACTCTGTGACAACCAAATCAAAAAGTTTTGATATAGCACTCAGCGACGTGATTCCCCGGTAGTTGTTTACGTCGCGTTTGCTTCCCTTTTTATGAACAGGAAACATATCCGCAGTCTTCCAGCGTATTGCGTCTTCTAGTGGAGAGTTGCTCGTATTCAAACACACTAGCAAATTTGGCTGAGAACAGGTTGCAAATGTCTTGTTGATTGCCAGCAGTTTCACCATTAAAAATCATGGAAGAGGGTAAGCCGACTTCCCTGCGTTGCTCATTTACGAAGTTCCAGAAGGATTTCGGGTGTGATTTTAGCCGCCGTTGAATCCTCCTTTGATAGCGTTGAAAACAGAGACGACTTAACCGCTTATACTCGTGATTGAGTCTGACATAGTAGCATTTCAGCGGCAGTGTGCAGAGTTTAGTAAATCTTCTGAGAGCATAGCCTTCTTAGTTCTTTTCAACGATCGAAGATCTTTCGTCATCCACGGGACGTGAGAGTCGATATGATATGGATGATCTTTTTGGAAACGTGTCTGTCAATGACATATGCCAAGACGTGAGAAAAGGTTTGTGCAGCAATGTTGACGTCTACAGGATCTAGAATATGCTCCCAATCTAGGTTAGGCAGCACATGGACAATACTGTGATGGTCAGCTCTACGGAAGTCATATGACACAGTGTTTGGAGTGCTGGTGAAATCATGGACAATGTTATTTTCGATCACGATAACTAAAGCAGGGTGATGATGCACTTCCTTGACTAAACGTTCGGGTGCCGTTGAGAGGAAAGGAGCTGTTTCACGAGTATTCACTCCAGGGTGCGGTTGTTTTTATTCATCAGGCCATTGATTTGCAACAGAATTGCGGTACTATAACCATAGAGGTAACTCTAAGACTAGAAGGTCCCGAAATAACGTGCTCAACTTTTTGGCTCAGCTCTGGTACTATCTTCGGTCCCAAGCTAATCGATTCACCCCTCGAAACATAGGAAAAACCAATAACCCCTCATTTTATCTGTCAAACTTTCATAGCGTATCAAAACAAACATTACGTAGTAGTTCGACTAGAATGGGGTACGTTAATCGTTTGCTTGGGACCAATAGGCTAGTCAAGTAGAGAGCCAATTTAAAATCGTTAGTTTCGTATTGATTGTTGCTATAACTGTCCAGGAGCTGGATGGTTCCTACGTGGAAAGATGAACGCTCATGATCAGGACAAAAGAAACCACTATGGGTTGGAGTCCATGCAATGTCCGGTAGGTTAAAATCGCCAAGAACAATAACTTCGTCGGAAGGGCCTGCTTTGTCTGAAGCGACCAAGACGGATCGACAATGTGGGTCAATAAGCTCCAAGTCACGGGTTCGATCTGGAGGGATGTACACTGCACAGAGAAGCAATTAACCACTTCATTGGAGCAGTTAAAATGACGTTTACTACCACTCGAACTTTGAAATAAAACATTGTTTTGAGATTTTTTCTTCTAGAACCTCGAGAAAAGTTCCCAAGCGTTTGAAAAAAATAGAAATTAGTTGGTCCAGTTTTGTGAAATCGCTGGTAGAAAGTCACGCCAAAACTGCTTGACAAAGTTGTCAATTGCCGATCACCAAGTTGAAAAATATCTGCTGTTTTGCAAAATAGCAATTTAGAAAAATGAACTTTTTCCATAAACGGGAAAATATACATTTTATTGCCTTTATGGAATATTAACGCATTTTTAATTAACAATCTGTTCTTAAAAAAAAGAAAAGAAAGCTCAGTTTATTTAAAGAAGAAGGGGCAATAGCCATTAATGTTATGTTATGGCTATACGTTCCTATTATGGTGTGTTCCAATCATGACCTATGGGTATTCCTACATTCATAAGTACATTTTTCACATGTATGCCAAATGGCGTCATGCTAAACCGCATTATGCCACATATGGGGCACCCGGTATCAGATTGTGATATATGGTGAGATAATGTTACGATCAACACAATGCATGTTTTAAATTACCTAGGCTTTATGATTCTAGTTTTATTTATTTTTTTAAACGGTGACAACACCGAGTTTTTAAATCCTACATTACTACTGACTGCGTCACATTTCGTGTATATGAAAAATCTCTAAGAGCAAATAAAAGTAAAGCTTTAAAAGCACTGGTTCAGTTTGACTGCGTAAAAAATGGATACTCATTCTTCGAGCCCGTTGTATCTACTTCCAGTCCCAAGGAATACAAACTGTCCCATCATTCAGTACTGAATAGTATGTCGTTATGTTGAGATGAATATCGTTCAACTCCAGGCCGCTGGTGGCTATTAACTTTTCCAAACACTCAATCATGCGGTCAGGTGTAACAGAATCATCTTTACTAAGCGATAATAGGCTAAATAGCTTGATACATTTTGCATGAAGATCCCTCTCCACGTGTTTGTGGCGATTGTATGATTGCTGCTTCTCGTAGGACTCTTCCAAATGGTTGGTTAGGAAATCAACCAATAGCGATCCGGGACATGTAGCCGGAACAATTAGCTGCCCTGTGGGACTTACCATCAGAGGTCCCGCCTCCGATTCGACGACTATTTCAAACTTGGATAAATCAGTTGGCCAACTTTTTGGATATTTGGATTTTCCGAGGTAATCCAGCAAACTGGTCGTTATCTTTCGAAGGTGGGAAGCGTATGCCATTGCCTGTGCTTTTGGCATGAACTTGCGGCGGCCTATCCTAATGTTTCGCAGAACTTGTGACAGCGCGTATTCATATGCTGGAAGTTTCCGAAGATATGCATCATGCTTGTCGATATTTTGAAGAAGCTGAAAGGAAATATTTTTAGTTCGAAAATGAGGTATTGAAATCAAGCAAATGGCAAAAACATACATCTAACCAGTTTCGTTGAACGTCACCAGTATACAACATCACATGTCCATCGAGGCTAACTCCCGTGAAGGAGGCAAACACTAAAACCCTGTCTTTAAGACCGTCCACCGCTCCTGGGTGCAACTCGATCAATCTTTCTAAGCTTTTTAAGCAACCACGAAAATGCTCCACATTCCATCCGCAATCGTATTCGATATCCCTGGCCCCTAAAGTTTGAATCATCGATTCCCTCAATTTGGCCACTTCATCCTTCATCTCCTGCAGAGCCCTAGTTCTTACGTTTGCCGTTACTATTTGCTTTTGAAGCCAGTGCGCTAGAGACTCATTTTCTTTAGCTTTTTTCACCCGAAATTGAAATATATCAAACGGAGAATCTTCCTGATCCGGTCCGTTTCCTGCTCTTTTCCGGTAGAAAGAGTCCCCAGAGGAGGTGGACCTTGAGTTTCCATTCGTTCTGCTGTAATTGCCACTGCCGTTGGATGGCATTTTGTCAACGAACTCCGTAGGAAGGTTACACGCCTCCAGGATTTTCTTTAGCACCATCTTCGTATCGGTCGTACGCTCCAAAGGCACTTTTATAAGATTGAACGTTCCACGCTGTTCCGGCAGATTCGAGGCCCTTATGTAGAAGGGAAGTATTCTTGGAGTTGAGTGGAGGACCCGTTGCTGGGTCAGCAACGATTCCAGATGAGCGCTGAGTAGTTTGAGTGAGTCTTCATTGACCTGCCGTTCCTGTGGGTAGCGTCCGAAGAGATCGGGATGAACGGCAAAGTAAAACGGACGCAGTGCAGTTGCAACCTCAGAAGAACCGATCATACGGTATATTACGGTGGCGTATGGATTTCGTGGCATACTGAAATGAACGTTGGCATTAAAAAGGCGTAATTAAGAATGAAAACACTGTATTCTGTACCATTTCTTTAGGTATATATTCATTATTCCCAATTTACGCTACAATTCTATTGCTAATCGCTTGAACTTGATTATTTTGGTTCCTCCTTATCACTAACGTCAACAAAAACAAATTTTGAATGACGTTTGATTTGACAGTGCACGGAGCGAATGCGAAAATTCAATAGTAAATAAGAAAAAAACAAAGAAACCGGCAAATTTTTCGATGATTTTTGCCGTTATCGCCGTTAGGTGGACATAAGCTGAGAGCAGTGCAGTACGGCTGAGGAAGTAAAAAGGAGGAGCTTGAAGATAAAAATTAAATCTCGCGCAACACGAGAAAAGGGCCTATCAATTTTTATCGATTCTCTTCATCGATTTTCTCTTTCGCGAATAACCCGACTACAAATGAATTTCCCTCGGAATTTTCCATTCAGTGCGTTGTTTCAGGCGCAAGCTAACACTAGTTGCGTGCCCCTCTAGCTAACATCATCTTCTGTCGAACTGTTCTGTGAGCTTAGCGAGAAATTCGTTTATGTTGCCGTGGTAAAATAAAGAGAAAGTCGATGAAGAGAATCAGATTCTGAAACAACATACTGAATGGGAAATTCCGAGAGAAATTCATTTGCAGTAGGGTTATTCGCGAAAGAGAACATCGATGAAGAGAATCGATCATCAATGATAGGCCCTTTTCACGTGTTGCGTCTACTCTTTCCAGCATTCAGCACTGCGATTCAAGGAAAGAGTAAGCTGTTTTGCTCTGTCACACCTCTGTCAGTATTACCGCTGTCAGTATGCCCAAAAGTGTCAGATTTCCCAAACATGTCAAAATCATGTGAGCTTGACAGGGATAGAGTCCCCCTGAATAAACCATAACGGTGGTATGCTCCAGCGGTTATTATCCTCGGATTTAATCCCGATGATGAAAGTCCGACTGCTTTGATGTCGGCATCAGAGTTAATCAACTCAACTCTAAGCAAACATTTTGCAAATCATCCAAACAGGGTCGGCATTAAAAGTTATAATAATAAAAAAATGAAAAATCATTGCTAAAATCAATAAAAAAAAAAAAAAAAAACATTGGTATAGAATTAAAAGTTTAGGTTGGTTCGTTTCGGTAGAAAGCTTTCAAGGTTAGCTTTCAAAACAAAAGTCATTCAACTATCAAATTCAAAGTTGCCCGCTCGTTACTTTTAAAAGACTGAAGAGTTATAATATGTTATAACGGTTGTCAAATAATCGCAACACAGAAACCACCATCAAGATAGCACTATAACATGTTATGACTGTTATGTATGTAGTCTGAACGTACACACTTAGATTTTTTCGCCGAGATGGGCACCACCGAGCAGCTCGGCATTTCATTTTGCTGGAAAATCAGCAAAAAATACGTTTGCTCGGTGGTGCCCATCTCGGCAAAAAAATCTTAGTGTGTACTATACTATACTACTATACGTACTATACTATACTACTGTCAAATGAAAAACATCCCTAATAAACAAATACCATAAACGAACTGTAACCCGGATGGGTAAACTGTCCCACAAATGGTTTGGATGATACCCCGAACACGTCGTTAAGCTCTCTTTTATGGTTATTTTTTATTAGGGATGGCAGTGTTGATATTAAAAACGGACTACATACCACAATAAAAAATACGATTGCCCGAACAATAACATAAATAATAGAACTATTCCACACGTCGTTTGGATGATACCCTGAACACGTCGTTAAGCAAAATAACCTTAAAAATTGTATTACACAGCAACAAACAAAATTGTAATATCGATCAACGTAATTCAAGCTGATGTATGAAATATAAAGTTATAGCAAAAAGCAGATACATATCACATCAATGGATGTAATTTTGTTCGCAAAATCGATGTACATCGTACAACGTAATATTACACAACCAGCGGAATGACCTCTGTGCAGCTGTTTGAATCTAATATTCAACAACTTTTTTTTTCTCTGATGTGTATTTTTTACTCAAAACACATACTCATTCAGAGAATTTCGGTTTAAAGTGAAAAAACTGCTTTTAAAATTTTGAAAAAAAATGACCCCCCCTCCCCCTGACGATAATAGGTGTTGAGCCGTCGTTTCCATCACTCTATGTCCCAGGGGATTCGAGAAAATTTCCAACCAGTAAGATTTCCACGACCAGACCGGGACTCGAACCCGCGGCCATCGGCTTGGTAATACCGTGCCGGTAAGGCTATCTGAGGCCCCAAAGATTTAGGAATTCTACATTGTGCACAAATCTTCAATCGAAGTTCATCTCACGATTATATTTATTTAGTTTATTGGTACAAATAAATTACAATTAAAACATTCATACCTTACGAGTTATGAGCATGATAATTATTGAATAGATTGATCATTCAGCTATCACTCTACGGTACTCAAATCCGAACGGTCCATCGCTGTAGGATTCGGCTGCTCGTAGAACGGGGACAGTGCTTTTCCACGATGGTTGAACGTGTAGAACGAAGGTATGTTTCCGAGGGTTTCCCACGATTTGGCTTGCAGATCCACTGCGGCCCGAATCTCTTTAAATTCGCCTACCACTTGCAAAATGTTGTATATAATCAACGCCAGACTGAGAATCGCTTGGAAAATGATCTGCAATATAAGGAGGCGTTTGTATTTCACGTCGTCGAAAAGAATTACATTAAATTTACATCAATAGGAAGGTTCGTAAATTCCTGATCCGTGATTCTCAGATAAGCTCGATCTGAAATGGGGAAATATTTTAAACCAATTCGAAGTTTTTTTTTTGTAAGGAAACTAAACACTACTTACGTTGGGCTGCCGAGTAAGCAGCATGTAGAAGTGAAACGAATCCGGTAAACAAGACCAATTTGTTGAGTAGGGCCATTTTTATTCGATTTAAAAAATTTATGAAAATTTAGTGATAATTTGTTGTGATGGAAAATGAGGGGCCACTGACGAATGACAGATAGTCAAATGTGCAGTCGACATTGCCGGTAACTCAATATTCGATGTTATTTCCGACGGTCCCAATCGGCCAAAGATAGGATTTGATAGGCGAGAGCGCACGCTGAGGCAAATGTGATTAAAACGCTGTCCAGACTGAGCAGTTATAACATGTTATAACGGTTGTCAAATAATTGTAACATAGAAACCACCATCAAGATAGCGCTATAACATGTTATAACTCTGTAGTCTGAACGTACTATAAGGCTCAAGACACCGTCACTCAATTGGGTTCTTTAAGGGTATTGCTGGAAATGCATATTCATAATCTGCATTAAAAATGGAACCCAAACCCAAAATTTCATCAATTTTGGTACACTGGGACTATTTTAAATAAGAACGATTACATTTGCAAAAATCACCTTATTAGCGCCCCTCGGTGTCACTTTGTATGGGAGCGAGCTGTCAGTTTGTCAGTTTAGTGTCAAATAGTGTAGTTATTATTTTGCTTTAAATCTTGATTTAAAAATCGAGATGAAAGCGTGTGGGTTCGAAAAAAATATCGCTGTGCTCAGAAAACGAAGCTCTTTCAGATGATATATAATAGTACGTTCAGACTACAGAGTTATAACATGTTATAGCGCTATCTTGATGGTGGTTTCTGTGTTGCAATTATTTGACAACCGTTATAACATGTTATAACTCTCCAGTCTGGACAGCGTTTAAAAACCGAAATATTTTTCAAAATTAAAGAATCCAATTGATGAATTTACATTACGGTCGACCGACAGATGGAAATGATGTGAAAATGATAATGACGTTTTGCTACCTGTCAAATCGTATAGAATATTTTTTAGTACATCATCACTTTTATGGTTTTGGATTTCAAACCTAGGTGTCGCACGCACTAGTTCAGTTTCGCGTAAATTCATCAATTCGGATTCTTCTTGTTTTTGAAATGTTCTTCAATTATCATTATTGGTATACACATTAACGTGAGTAGAACACCTTTTCGTGGTACGTTACGGGATTTAAGATCTACCACCGATTCCTAGTCCTGACTACTTCAAACTAGGGGAATAGAATTTTTCAGTAATCCAAGGAACATATCTTAGTCCTTGTTACTTTTTATGCCTTGTTGATAGTGACAAGATTCGGCTTTGTCTGCCGAGGATGATCTTGAAACCAGGAAAACAATTGAGTTAGTTGTCTTCATCTATGTGATTCCTAATCTCCTATTCGTTGTTCCCTAGTTTGAAGTGGTTAAGACTAGGGTTTTGATGCATGGTCATTATCGGTGTCATACCTTAATTTTGTTGCTAAGGAATCCAATTTTGACTGACAAAGGGGCGCGCCTTTGGAGGGTGTTTCAACACTCCGAAGGGTATAAATAGCGGGACCTTTCAATTAGAGTCGGATCCTTGCGATAAATGCAAGAGTGGCAACTGTAAAAAAATCGAATAATACTTCATCATTTCTCAATAGTGATGGAGTAATACGACATGCACTAAACTAAGGACACGGGATAAACTACAATAGATCAATTTACTGGTCGCAGTAGTGTTAGGTCCCGAACAGAGGAAAACAAAAAATACACATTATACCTGTTCATTTTAACAGAAATATTCGGGATGCACCAGGTCAACCGTGATTATTGTTCGTCATGTTAATTTGAGCTTCTGTGCAAATATTCAGAAAAAAACAGTGATGATTTAGAGGTGCTTCAAGTGAATTTTATGTTTTTCAGGTAATTTGCGGCTTATAATATTTGTATCTCGAGACTGAAACAACGAAAACTGCTGTAACAACTTTCATAGCGAAGCATAATGTGTTATCTACCAACTTTGTGGCTAGAGGTTGACTATTCAAAGTGATTTTATTGAAGTTCAACTTAGTTTCATGCTCGAAGATATCTTAAAAAGTGAAGAATTTTAAAGTATTTGTTCTACAAACTTTCCACCCATATGACATAAAAATGTGTTCCTCCTGAAATTGTTCACTTTTTAAGATGTATTCGAGCATGAAACTAAGTCAAACTTCAATAAAATCACTTTGAATAGTCAACCTCTAGTCACAAAGCGAGGGGGGCGACACATCTAAATCTCAAGTCTAGATGCTTAACAAATCTCCAACTAGTGAATCAATCTTCGAAAAATCTTCTTTCATTTCTCGCATCTACTTGCATCGCGCATCATCTTTTTGCAGGAAATCTTCAGAATCGTCGTCAATCTTCTTTCTATCTACTCAGCGTGCACGCAGCAAGCCACAGCAAAACACAATCTTTCCTGCATCGTAGATAGAGTCGTCCCCTCGTCACAAAGTTGGTAGATAACTCATTAAGCTTCGCTATGAAAGTTGTTACAGCAGTTTTCGTTGTTTCAGTCTCGAGATACAAATATCATAAGCCGTTAATTACCTAAAAAACATAAAATTCACTTGAAGCACCTCTAAATCATCACCGATTTCGCTGAAAATTTGCACAGAAGTTCAAATTAGCATGACGAACAGTAATAACGGTGCATCCCGAACATTTCTGTTAAAATTAACAGGTCTAATACACATACATTCACGCACAAGCCATCCGAAAATTTTATGCAAGTATTTCATGATTTTACATCGTATATTTTCTGGATAAAACATCATCACTGCTTTTACTTACTTGTGTTCTTCGTAGTAATTCACAATTTCACGTAGTCGAATACACAAAATTCAGTGCCAACATTTCAAAGGGGCGTAAATGCATTTGTAAACAATGACTCTAGCCGTCGATTTCTCGCGAATAAAAGTTCACTCATGAAAAATAATAACATCAGTAGGTAGAGGAATGTTTCCTCTACCACCTTGCATTGTTATTTTGGAGGGGTGAACTTGTAGTTGCGAGAAATCGACGGCTAAAGCCATTGTTTACATAAACAATTATGCCCCTTTGAAATGTTGGCACTGAATTAATATAAACTAGAAGTCAAATCCCTTGGTGAACAAAATAAAACACCAAGAAAATCACTTTGACTCCAGTTCTTTGCTAGCGAACGCGAAAGAATCATTGCACAAGCGTTGCCAGATGTAAAAAAAAACATCATGTTCATGTAAAGTGATTTGTTGTTGAATTCGCTCTACTTGCCAAACATTGCAAATCGATGTGCAAATCCCTTGGAAGAGATCATATCGAAGCACGATGAAATCAAGAGCAAATCACTTCATTTTAGATTGTATTGTAAATCGTTGTTGATGTGCTGTGCTTTGAACTCGAAATGTCAAGCATACTGATATTAAAAATCTATCACTTGAAATTTAACTAATTAATCCTTGGATTTTATGTTTGTTGAATATGGATTTAAATAATATATAAGGTTGTCCACGAGACAGTTGCGATCAACTGACTTTTTTTGTTTACCAAGAACTTTTGACAGATCACAGTAGAACCATAGAGGTAACTCTAAGACTAGAAGGTCCCGAAATAACGTGCTCAACTTTTTGGCTCAGCTCTGGTACTCTCTTCGGTCCCAAGCTAATCGATTCACCCCTCGAAACATAGGAAAAACCAATAACCCCTCATTTTATCTGTCAAACTTTCATAGCGAATCAAAACAAACATTGCGTAGTACTAGAATTTCGACTAGAATGGGGTACGTTAATCGTTTGCTTGGGACCAATAGGCTAGTCAAGTAGTGAGCCAATTTAAAATTGTTAGTTTCGTATTGATTGTTTGTAGAACTGGCAGTTTATTCTCATTTGAATTTCTGCTTTGTTTATGTTCACATTCAGTACCATTAACACCAGATCACTCACACACTCTAGATTTCTAGCTGTCAGTTCTACTGAGAAACGTCTCTTGGATCACCTTATTGTCTTGTTTATACTGCAAGCTTATATGTTATTAAGAATATGACCATAGAGCATATCATATTACCGTATGCGTGATAATGTTTGCACCAAGGTGACTATATATAGGTGTTCTAATGTGTCAAATTCATGATTCAGCCATGTTGGACTTTTGTATTAAAGCCCTCTAGTTAAAGTATGGACGACTGTCACCAAAAAACTGAAAAAGCTGTTCCAATCGAGCAAAGCGGTGCATTTTGACGGTTCGATTGGAACAACTTTTGACAGACGTCCATACTTTTACTGTAGGGCTTTATTTTGTATGGGACAGCAACCGAGTTTGTTTACAATTTGCTCTAAAACCGCACTTTTCCCAGCCACGACCTCCTCGCTTATATAGTGACAAAGCTGTATCACCATTTATATACCCACCATGGTTTGCACCATTGGGCAATGTCAAATTTTAAAAAATCTCATAAATTTAATTTTCGAGTTTTTTTTATTTATTGAAAAGGGGGATGTTTCTCAGAGTCTTAAACAATGTTAATCATCGATCGAGTTTCCACTTGCTGCAAATACGGCCTCCACACGCTTCCGGAATGCACGGCAGGTTCTAATAATGTAAAGGGCGAACACGAAATTATTGCGACACATTCAACAGGGCATAACTATTTTACCATTGGGTAAAAATCAACCAAATTTTGCACACTTTCTCATTGATGTGTATTGTGTACATGCTGTCAAACTCGAAGTCGTGTTTTTCGATTCAACGAAAATGGAGGTGAACCAACGCGAGTTGAGAGAACAAATTCTTTCCAAAAACCTGGAATTTCCTGACCTGTCGCACCGGCAGTTGGGAAAAATGTTGAACATTCACCATTCAACCGTCTCCAGAGTGTTGAAGCGGTTCCAGGAGCGGTTGACGTTGGACCACGGCAAAGGAGCTGAAAGAAAACCGGGACCGGAGAACAAAAAGACGGAGGGAAAGGTGAAGCGGATGATTAAAGCAAATCCCAACGTCTCAAGCCGTGATTTGGCTAAAAAGATCGGCATGTCGCAGAGCTACGTCCAGAATGCAAAGAAGAGAGCTGGACTACATACATACAAGGTACAGAACTTCCAAAACCGCGATGAGCGGCAACAATCGACGGCTAAAACTCGGGCACGGAAGCTCTACGAGAAGATGCTGACAAAATATGGCTGCTGTGTGATGGACGACGAAACGTATATAAAAGCCGATTTCAAGCAAATTCCGGGGTTGGAGTTTTTCACCGGCAAGAGCAAGTTCGATGTGGACGACAAATTTAAGAAGAAGAAAATGTCGAAGTTCGCCTCCAAATATCTCATTTGGCAGCCCGCATAAACGCGAACCATAAATTGACCTTACCTAAAATGGTTAAAAATTGTTTATAATCCCTGCTAAACTTTAACTGAAATGGTTATGGAACTTTACATGAACGTTTAATGATAAAGTTTCAACCTTATGTATTATGGTTTTTTGGAACTGGACCTTACAAATAATGGGTTGTTAAGAACCATTACCATTCCAAAATCTTGTTTTCTCCATACATTTTCAGAAAGAGAACTATATAAGAACGTTTTTACTTATGATTTGAGAACATTAATGGTAATGGTTATGGTAGTCAGTAAGGTCCATTAATGGTTTTGTATTATCGCTCAACTTTACGTGGAATATATCGTGAATTGGTAATCAGTAAATTACAGGCAACCAATTCGCGATATATTCCACATAAAGTTGATCGATGTTGAAAAACCATTCGTGGACCTTACTGACTACCATAACCATTACCATTAAAGTTCTCAAACCATAAGTTAAAAGGTTCTAATATAGTTCTCTTTCCGAAAATGTATGGAGAAAACAAGAATTTGGAACGGTTATGGTTCTTAACAACCCATTATTTGTAAGGTCCAGTTCCAAAAAACCATAATACATAAGATTGAAACTTTATCATTAAACGTTCATGTAAAATTCCATAACCATTTCAGTTAAAGTTTAGCAGGGATTATAAACAATTTTTAACCATTTTAGGTAAGGTCAATTTATGGTTCGCGTTTATGCGGGAGGCCATCTGCTCTTGCGGACTGAGGAGTGAGCCTTTCGTGACAAAGGGCACAGTAAATGGCGAGATCTACAAATCTGAGTGCCTTGAGAAGCGCCTTTTGCCGTTCTTGCAGCAGCACGACGAAGCTCCGCTATTTTGGCCAGATTTGGCATCATGCCACTATTCTAAAAGTGTCCTGGAGTGGTATGAGGCCAATTCTGTCCATTTTGTTCCAAAGGACATGAACCCGCCAAACTGTGTGGAGCTGCGCCCGGTGGAGCAGTACTGGGCAATAATGAAGCGGGAACTTCGGAAGAGTAAGAAGACAGTCAAAGACGAGAAGGACATGTTAAGAAAATGGAAAAAAAAACTGAGAAACTGGTACCGGATGACACTGTAAAGACTATGATGGAGGGTATCATTCGAAAATGCGTTCAATTTTACACTCAAGGCTCCATCGATTAACTTTTCTTTTGATTTTTGAAGTAAATATATGTATAAAACTACCCTAAAATTTTGGTTTGATTGTAAACATTATAAGAAAATTGGCATGACATTTTCGGTGTCGCAATAATTTCGTGTGCGCCCTTTAGTCTGGATCCATTTCTCTCCAGGTACGGGTTAATACGGCGTTTAGAACAGGCCTTGGCCTTCATTACGCGCCATATTGAATAATCCAGCGGATTAAGATCGGGGCTGGATGGCGGCCACATATTCTTAGCCCAGAACGGAAGATGTTCCTGCAACCACTTCTGAAAGCGGTGTGACACGGAGCCCCATCTTGTTGAAATACAACATCAGACCGTACTGTTCTTTGATCCAAGGAACAACATACTTACTTAAAACACAAACGAAGTGACAGACGGAGCGGCTCGAAAACTTTGGTGACTAACCTGCTATTACAATTTTTCAGTGTACCACACGGCAACACCACTACTACTGGATTGTACCACATGGCAACACTACTATTGGATTGAACTAGCATTTTCACCAAATGTACTAGAATATTTTGGTTCTATCTCTTTCACTCTACTCAAAACTGAAATGCATAAAAAAATGACAAAATGATACGCACTCTTTGCACACTGTCAAAGAATCATTGTACACAAAATCAACTTTGTTCAAATCAAAACAAATAAACTAACCCATCTGGTGGATGATGGCACAAGCTTCCAAGAAAATTCTAGTGTGAACAGTGAACCACATTATTTTAATGGATTTCTTCGCCAGTAAGTCGTCTGTCACTTCGTTTGTGCTTAAAATCCCGATGTAGACCTCCTTGTTGACCTTGTCGCCTTCTGGAATGAACACCGGGTCCTTTTTTTTGCCATCGGAAGCCACCAATCCAAACACCATAACGCTAGTGGGATGCTTGGTCAGACAGATACAAGTTTTTGGGCTCGTCGGCCACGTCTTTTACCGGAAACATGCTCTCGTCGGTGAACAGGATTACCGGATTTTTTCGCTTAAGGAAGTTCAAGATTTTCTACATGTCTACAAGCGTTTTCGACATTTGCTTCCAAAAGCAAAACTAATCAAATTCAATGGATGAAAACAGTGGTGCCAATTCAAATGATAATCATTTTGATTTAAAGGTGTTATACAGTACATATTTTTCAACGACAAATCACTTTGTTTCAAAACACCTTTCACTTGAAAATCGATGATAAATCATTTCGATTCGTAGTTCCGGATGACAGACTGAAGGCCGGCGCACAATAGATACGTTTTCAGGTTTTTTGACAGTTAGCCCATGCATTATCTGTAAAAAAACCCGAAAACGTATGCATTGTGCGCCGGCCTTGAGTCAAGTGCAAAAGCATTAGGATTAGATGTGACAATTTTTTACCGTGAATATAAGTTTATTAAAACGAAACGATTAAAACATACAAATACGAATAACCCAGTTCAGCGCTGTATTTTACAAACTCACTTGAAAGCTGGTGACTTCTTGAAGGCCTGGGGCCGGGAACCTATTGTCTTCTGTGCGTACTCCTAGCTCTGTTTACCGTACCACCTTTGTTCTCTGGGGCATCACCGTTAACGTACCCGACATAGTACACTGCTTCCATATCTTGATCACCTCTCTGACTCCCTGCACATATCGGCTTGCGACACGTAGCCACTTCGCGAACTCTGCCTTCCTCTTTGGCGATTCTTTCTCTGAAAAACCCTTGAGGTATGCATAACCTGGACTGTAATCAAACGTTAGCAGGTTACATTTGCTGACGCTAGATGGTGTGACATTCCGCTGCGTAATGTAGAAAAGCTAGTGGAGTGTATTGTAATATAACATATTTACTGAGAATGTCGTGACCGTTTTCCGAAATAATGTAAATAAAATCAGAATTTTAAGTGTAAATAATTTATTCGCTTGATTTGTTTTTTTTATACATACAGCAAACGCTAGTACCAGCTCTACTAAAACAATACAATACTTCGGTGAAAAATCTAAGGACATTGCGACGGATGCAGTACAGTTCTGTATAATATTTGGTGATTGGTCTGTCAGATTATACATTATCTTCAATATTTTGGACCACATCTAAGGCGCATTACATGGTGGTTGTGTTTACAATAAGTTTCAGTAAGTTGAGAAATACCATTGTTGTTGAGGCAGATCAGATTGCATTATTACCGCTAATACGAACGATTTCTAACATAAACGAAGACATTTTCTGTACAAATTATCTTAAAAAAAGAAATAACATACATTAACTACACTCTTCGAAGAAATCTGAAAAAAAAACTATCGGCAAAGAGATTCGCTTTCTTTGAGATTAGTTTAAACAAAAAATAAAGTTATAAAATAATTTATCAGCAGATATTTTACATTTTTTAGTCAAGGTATAGCGGACGAAAACCGAAAAAAGCGCAATAAAAACGGGAAAATGCACCATAAATTATTGAAAATAAATATTGTGTTTTGTCAAAGCGCGTAGTCAGGATTTCAATTTATACTGTTTCTGTGTTGCTACTCAAGATAGTTACCCTTCCCGTGCTTTTTTTTTAAGCTAGAGAAGTGTAGCGATAGAAAAAAGTGTAATGCTTCATCTAAAAGCTTTTCCCAGAAGCTTGTTTTAGATGCTTATCTCAGAAGCTTTTAAGGTGAATCGCTGTGGAAACCTTATTTCTGATTACCACATAAAAATTTCTAGGGCACAAATATCAGCTCTCACAAAGCTTATGACAATGAAACTGGAACTTCAAGTTTGCTGCAGTGCGGTACACAAGGAGTTCCAATTTCATGAGTGATGCCACAACAGCGTCTATGATTTGTACTCTAGATATCTTGAAGTGATAGGGAATATCAGCCATCATAAGGCCATTGTTGGACGCTTCAATGAATCACCTTAAGAGCTTCTTTCAGGAGCTTTAGTTAGAAGCTTCCTTTTGAAGCTTCTACTAGAAGCTTAATTGAGTTACATTTTTTGACCAAGAGCTTAGTTACACACCCGACTAGAAGTTGTACAGGTACAAAATGGTTCTAGCATTTTTCAATAATCTAAGGAGCGTTTTCGCATTTTAATTTGAACTAAATCGTAGCTACGGAGTAGCAGACATTTTCTGTGAGTACGGAAAGCGAGTTCATTGAAAAACGCGCACTTTCAAACTTAAATGTATGTATTGTGTGGTCTATGAGCTAAAAACACTTCAGTAGGATGTCACTGTGGAAATGGTTTGCTGTTGCTGCTGCTGCTGAACGGATCGCGATCCCTGAGCGATTTCACCATTGTTGACGGCCTTGTACTTAAGGAATGCGTCGTACCCGTACGCGATCATGGCACAGTATCCGAAAAACTGCGAAGAGAACAGAATTGAAGGGGTTAGTTCAAAGGAGAATAATTAATGTTGTTCAAGTTGAAATGTTGATTCCCATAACCGATCCGCACACGTATCAATATATTGACGAGAAAGGGAAATATTGACAATAATATTGATGATGTGAATGCAGAATTATTGCCAATACAGATATTTTAACGTCAATATAGAATGTTTTGACAGTACGATTATTGTCAATAAAAGCAATCTTGTAGGGTCCACCTTGGGGTCCATACTGCGCAGTCGATTTCAAATCAATTTTTAAAGCATTTGAGATTATTTTGTTGTTGTTTGATGCTCTGAAATTGTGGTTGAAGTAACAGGTAAGTTTTTTTTTTTCAGTTACCGTGGGGACGTAATTTGTGATTAGCCCGGGTCCCTTTCAAATTGTCTCATTATTTGTGAATAATCCATAAATTGATGAACGAACCGGAAAGTAAAATATTTGCAATCGGTCATGCCAAGTAAGGGAGAACAGCCCATAATGCACCCCTGGGGTAAAATGCCCACTTTTAGAAAAACAGCGATAACTTTTCCTCAGATGCATTTTCCGGGTAACGGTTTGTGATTGTTTTCAACTGGAGGTTTCACAAATAATTCTTGATCATAAAATCATGTATTGACCTGCTGATTCCTTAAAAAAATTACATTTTGTGCAAAACAGGACACAGTTGTTAAAATCATCGACTGTAAATTAAGCTTTTAACATCATATATCACAAAAAAATAACAAATTTACGTTTCGTATATTTTTTAGATATTTTACTTGATGAATCACAGTTTAACATTCTATTGAGATTTTGAGACCTTATTTCTGATGTAACATAAAGAAATAATCATTTGAAATACCGCATCCCTTTGCATTATCTACTTGCAGGGGTTATGGTTTGTTTACCATGGGGTGCATTTTACCCCAATGTTGTGGTGCGTTTTGGCCATTGTTGTCGTGCGTCTTGTCCCAATATTGTGGTGCATATTGCATCATGAATCAGGCGTTTTGCCCCGCTATCATTTTGGAAGCAATTTAGAAAATACCTTGAAAGTCATGGAAAATCATCCTTTTGTAGTTCTAAATCACTCGATCTTTGTAGAAAACATGGTAATGAACCAAACGCCATTACTTTCTTCTTGATTTTAGCTTCCATTCGCCAGCCATTGAAGATTTTGCTTAAAGGGTGCGTTTTGCACCATCCTACCCTAAGCATTAACTTCTCCAGAGGACCATCTCCCATCGTTTCAAACATGTTCTGCACTCTCATTGGTGGAAAAAATGACAGCACAGCGAACATAAAATCGACAGTGAGCATTCATAAGGGCGAATAAGCGAAGATCGATTCTCTTCATCGATTTTCTCTTTGCATTGCTACAGCTAGGCGAAACAATTTTCTAGAATTTGTTCAATGCAGAGTAGTAACAGGTTGTATTGGCTATCAAAAGCAACAGCAAACGCACCGAGAAACGTTAAATCTAGCGAGTTATTAACAAAAGAGAAAATCGACGAAGAGAATCGATCATCGCGTATAGGCCCTTATGCATGCTCACTGTCGAAATAGTCGATTAGTTGTTAATCGAGTAATTAAAAATTAGAACACTTCAAGCTGAACAATGCATTAGGTCCTAAGTAACATTGATCGATTCTCTTCGTCGACTTCTCTTTCGTTATTAACTTGAGCACATAACCGTTTCTTGTTGTGTTTGTCGTATTAGATGCTAGATAAAAGCTTCTTTTATCGATATGTGTGCTGAAAATACCTGAGAATGTCTTTACATGGCCATAGGAATACAAAGAGAAAGTCGACGTAGAGAATCTGTCAATGTAGGACCTAATGCAATGTTTAGCTTGACTTTTCAAATAAACCAATCTACATTTATCGATTCTCTTCATCGACTCTCTCATTTGTTAAAAACTTGGTTACATTCATATTTCGGGCTAATTTTTCTACATAGCCTGTTAAAAAAGTTCTATTAAGCGTATTAGACGATAAGAACAGCTGAACATGTTTTTGGAGCCGAGTTATTAACGAAAGAGAGAGTCGATTAAGAAAATCGATCAATGTAGATTGGTCTACTTGAAAGGTGACGCGAGACATCGCTGATTTCTCGCGACACTTTTCATATAGACCAATGTAACATATCCGCTATTTTGTGAAAATCTAAGAAAGTTAAGAAACAATGCATTTTGCAATACTATTTTTACCGTAGTCAATGAATAATAACGTAAAAAATTCATTAGAAACGGTAAAATCACAATTTTACTTTGAATTTCATGCTACAATATAGAAAAAAAAACCTCATAGGACGTTTTGACTAGTCAAGTTGTACATCGGACATGTTACATTGGACCTTTTGAAAAGTGACGAGAGATTTTTGGTGTGATTGTAGTCAGAGTTGATAATAAAAGAGTTACACAGAGTGAAGCTTGCAACCCTGATGTAGATCAATGAGCATTTTTTTTATTTTGGCATCCTTGGTTTTTGCTTACACCTCGGACAGCGTTGCCAGATATACATACCGATTTTCAAATTTGATACCGATACACAGATAAGGTTTCTCAAAATACCGATTTATACCGATTTTTTTTTATATTAATAATCAAAATGATTACTGCCTGCCCTCACTAAATTGTCAGAGGAAACTGTTGTGAGATACTTTTATCATTTTGAAAATTAAAATTTTTGAGCCTGTTCTAAAAAAATTTCATCTTCAAAAATGTCTTATGCTTGGCACTCTTTCGACTAATGATTCCATTTTCTCGCCGTTTTTGGTTACCAAGGAGTCGAGAAACAGTTGATGGCTCACCTCAGTAATTTCTGGAAGTCAGTGGAAAAATAGGTGCATAAAAACGTTAATTTTTGAACTTCCTGATATTTCTTTAATCTTCCATTCGAAGTTTCTTCTAATTTTCTCTAGGAATTTCCGTCCACCTTACCCTGTAAGATATTTTCCGATTCCTTCCGGAAAGCTGTTTCGACTTCCCCGGAACTTCAGAAATGCTTCCAGAGCCTTATTCCCACAAACGAAGTGACAGGCGACTAACTGGCAAAGAAATCAATTAAAATAATGTGGTTCGCTGTGATAGAATTTTCTTAGAAGCTTGTGCCATCAACCACCAGATGCGATAGTATTTTTGTTTTGGTTTTGCACAAAGTTGATTTTGTGTACAATGATTCTTTGACAGTGTGCAAAGAGTGTATCATTTTGTTATTTTTTTTATGCATTTCAGTTTTGAGTAGAGTGAAAGAGATAGAACAAAACATTCTAGTACATTTGGTGAAAATGCTAGTTCAATCCAGTAGTCGTGTTGCCATGTGGTACACTGAAAAATTCCAATAGCAGGTTAGTCACCAAAGTTTTCGAGCCGCTTTGTCTGTCACTTCGTTTGTGCTTATTCCGGTTCCATTATTTTCAGGAAAATTTCAGGAATGTTTCAGAAGTTCTGAAACTTCAGAATAGTTTGGACTTTTGGGTAGTTTCCGATAAATTAAAGACAGTTTCATTAACTTCTGTTCAAATCCAAGAACCCGAGAATCTCAGGAAAGCTCAGAGAACTTCAATGAACTTAAGGAAACTGAAATATTTTGGAAACTTCACAAGCCCAAAGAACTTCAAAGAAATTTATTGGTTTTCAGGATAGTTCCATGTGTTTCAGGAGAATTGAGATAACTTTAGGGAAGCATTAGGACACATAAATTCAAGGAAATTTCTGAGAAAATGAGTTCCGAGAAACTTAGGGAATTTCCGAAAACTTCAATTAAGATCCGAGAGGTTCATGAACATTTTGGAACGGTAAGGGAAGTTACATGAAAATTAGAAAATTGTGAGAACATTTTAAGGGAAGTTCTGTGTTTTTTATCGGCAGTTTCGAGACCTTAAAAAAATAAAAAAATCGGGAAGATCAGAGAACTTTAATGCTGATGTTTATTAATTAAAAAAAAAAATTAAAGCGCTTACGATGAACCAGGGACTTTTAAAGAAGATAAGAGATTTTCCGGTAGTTCCATAATAATCAGGGAGGTTACGATTACTTCGAGGATGATCACAGAACTTCAAAACAGCCCCTTTAACTTTAGGAAAATTGCAAGAATATTCAAGGTGTTCCGAAGAATTATGGGATTTTCCGAAGTTCAATTCAGGAATGTTCCGAAAACTTCAGGAACATTGTGGGATTTTCAGGGATGTTTTATGAATACCAGGAAAATTGCTGGATCAATAGAGCATGTGAGGAAATTCAGGGAATATTGTGCTAACATCCTCCAGAAATCAATTTGTTCCAGATATTTCCCATCTTCTCCTTGAAGTATCTTTCGACTGTTCCGTAAGCCCTCTGGCGTCCGACTTTTTCCAGAAGTTTCTTCCAATCTACATTAGGAAGTTTCTACCAGTGTCTCCTGGAAGTTTCTTCCGTCTTCTCCAGGAAGTTCAATTAAAGTTCGTCCGGATGTATCTATCGAGTTCTCCCAGAAGTTTCTGTCGTCTTCATCTGAGAGTTTCTCCATAAGTCACTCTTCGTAAGTTTTTTTTCCGACGTTTTGGAAGGTTTTTCCGAGCTTTTCCTAACTTCCCCTGGAAATGGCTCCTCCGGGATTGGCTTCCGATTTCCAAACTTTTCTTGTTTCTGGATTTGTTACGAAAGTTTAGGAAAAATTTTGCCAGAAGTTTCTCAATATTTGTCTTGGAAGATCCCCATTGGATGTTTTTTAAACATGTTTATAGATCTTCCTTCAAACTTCCTCCACAAGATCTTCTTTATTCTGAAAGTTTTGTTGGTACCATTAAGAGACTAATTCAAATATTTCCCTGAAGTTTCTTCTGACTTACATGGAAAGTTCGATTTTAGTCCAAAAGTTTGAAAAAAAAATAATTTAAAATAGTGAATACCGGTAAATACCGATTTTTTAATCATTGGATACCGATAATCATGCAAACAATCTGGCAACGCTGACCTTGGATGACTTCACCTGGGTTGTGAAAGCTTCCTCTGCTATCCTGATTTGTGCAAGTGAACATTAGACTGATGCAAAATTTGACATTTCCACTCCACAGTGCTCAAACGGTTCCAAATTTGGCCCTGATTAGCCTCCCAAAATTTGAACTCATTTAGTGAGAAACCATTTGAAGTTTATGTGGGAATTACTATGAATAAACCATAATTTCGGTTCATATCTATCTCAAAATTCACCAGTTCACTTTACTTTAGAAAAGGATAGCTAAGCTTACTGAAAATTTTCCCAGCTACAACTTTGTTGAAGATCACTTTTAAGATTTTGTGACAAGCAATGCAATATGTCCAGGAAAAACGTCACGATAGGGGGGGGGGGGGGGTAAATTTCTCCTAGATTTAGCGTGACATAATTAATGCATGGGCCCCAAGAGGGCAACATAACTACAGGGGGTAATCTTTGGACGAAAGGAGACCGTGAAAGAGGACGCTAATAGCGAATTCGTTTAATATCGGGATTGGAACCGGTTCCAACCCATTTTTTTTTCCTTTGGTTTGTTTTTTCCGTCGATCTTGTTTTTCGTGCTGAGCACCAATGCTACCGACGTGCCAAGAAGGCAGCTCCCACACCTGGACCCTACCTATCGACCCATCAACTCATGAACCGGGGACCAACGGCTTTACTTCCCATCCGAAGGAAGGCGTGATCAGAGATGTTATGCCTCAGAACATCCCGGCAGCGCCGACTGGGATTGAACCCAGGCCTACTGGGATGAGAGGTAATCACGCTTACCACTACACCACCGGCGCCGTTAATGGTGTTCCAACCCAATGTGAAACCGAACTTTTAGTCAGTGTGAACCACAACCTGAGTTAAGGCTGGCGCACAATGCATAAGTTTCCGGGTTTTTTGACAGATAATGCATGGGCTAACTTTCAAAAAACCTGAAATTTTTTTCCATTGTGCGCTGGCCTTTAGGTTTTAACAACAAACGATCAAACTGACGTTTGTCATAAAACAAACAGACACAATTGAAGAATCAAAGTGACGATTTGATTCGTCAATACCGAAGAAAACATGTCTGGCTATTCCCGCTATCTTATACAAACGCTAATAAATAAACGCAATCTCACCATTTGGTGCTCAAAGGCAAAAGCTGTGTTTGAATTAGATAGCAGTTTGGAGCTCAAACAGTCTTCTTGATGATGATAATCTCTCTATCAGCTTTGGTTTGCAGCTGCTTGAGTTCAAACAAATGTGTATTAAAATGATATTATCGTTTATTGGCTGCTATTACTCATCATGAGTAGTAAGAATGAATGTGGAATAGCTGGGTAAAAAAACAATTTTGATAGCTTCTACTTCTGATGCCATGACTCAGCCGGCGGAACACGCTGTAATGACGTTGAACAACAATCCCGCAAAAATGGTGTGAGCTAGCTGGTTAGATCAAGTGGAACAAGATCCAGGAAGTGTGAGGCGGTCAAGAAACTGGAGGCAAGCAGTAATGAACCGAGCTAGTTGGTGCAACCATGCTTGGCATACACAGTTTTGGTCACGAACTGCTCATTTGCTAATAACTTTGAACACAGTTGACGAAACATAGTTCTTTTTGAAGTAGTAGATAGAACAGAGTTTAAGCTTGTTATAGATACGTAAAAAAAAAGAAGATTTGAGTTAAAGTAATAAACTGTATTTGTTTTTGCGTTGTAAAAATGAAGTGAGAATTGCTCGCTGCACAACTCGGACTTTAAGCGTAAAAATTCATTAGTGTTGATTCAAATGTTAAGATTTACCTATAGTAAGCTATGATTCTAATCTATCAATTACTTTAAAGAAAAACAAATTTCAACAACTGAGTGAAAAATTATTAACAAATGAGCAGTTGGTGTGTACAACTGTGCATTCCAAGCATGGGCGCAACATTATACAACAGATCAAATCTTGACCAGCAACATTAAGTAAGTGCTGAAAATGTTTGATGGGATGAGAACTACTTTAGGTCTTTTGGTTCATTGGGTTATCTTGCTATCTGAATTTTTAGGAAATTATCACCTTTTTTGTAGTTACGCTGGGGTAAAATAGCCTGACTCACGCCAAAGTATACAAATGTGTTAGTTCAGAAATCAGTTGATTGATAACCCAACAATTAATTTAAGCTGCAGATTAGCTTATACACTGGAGTCGCTTTTTACGCGGGTGATACGTCCCGCGTAAAAAAAAACCGCGTAAATTCCGGAATCCGCGTAAAAAAAACCGCGTAAATTCCGAAATCCACGTAAAAAAAAACCGAGTAAAAAAAGACCGTGTAAGAAAAAACCGCGTATAAAGCGATATACCGCGTAAATTCTGAAATCCACGTAAAAAAAAAACCAAAATCCGCGTAAAAAAAAACCGCGTAAATTCCGGAATCCGCGTAAAAAAAAACCGCGTAAATTCAGAAATCCGCGTAAAAAAAACCGCGTAAAAAAAAACCGTGTAAAAAAAAAAACCGCGTAAAAAGCGACTCCAGTGTACAGCCTTAATTTGCCTTGATGATTGTCCACGCAGGGTAGGGAGGGCCTAACACCACTCAAAAACTGTTCACGTGGAATATGGAAGTCCAATGGCTTTTTTTTTTTGCAAATTTCTAGATAATGAATAGTCGCCCAAGTAAATCATCGAGTAGAAAAAGAGTCCATATGGATGACATTGATAGTTTTGATGGAAAGGTTTTAATTTTACTAGAAATTAACGGAAGATGTAATTGTTTACGTTTATGACTTGGCCTCTTATGAAAGATCACCGTCGAAGTTTGCCCTTAAATACAGTGTATCTCAAAATTAAGCGTACATCTGAATGAACAGTTTTGTTAAACACTGTGTTTCTTGGCTGGTGTTTGTTTCACCGGTATAGTTTTGTGCTTTATTGGCAGAGCCTGTATAAAGTTTGAATAATTTTGGTAACCAGAGATGAACCAGCCTCCAGCTGAAAATCTCCTGAATATATATAGAAGAAGAAGAAGAAGAAGACTTGTAGTACAAGCACCGACGAACAGACATGCCACAGGAGCATTTCGTTTGTCCACAATTCGGATTGTCAAAGGAGCGATTCGAACTTTCAAACGGGCGATCAGATGTGTCGAACGAGTTGACACGCAAACGAAGGCAATGTAAATTATACGTGGGTTCGTGTCCTTGCTCATGGTATGATGCGATCGGATGAGTAGATGTCGGTAGTGTTTAACGTATTTTAAATATGGCGTCTTGGGAACGAATTTGAAAGTCACACCAAATTTGAGATTTAGATTTCAGTAAAACGGATTTCTGGATCATGATCAGCAAAGCAATGCTTTACTGAAAGATAGCAAACGATATTTTTTACCGAAAAATACAGCTAACATAAACGATGGTGTAGTGGTAAGCATGATAACCTCTCACCCCAGCAGGCCTGGGTTCAATCCCAGTCGGCGCCACCGAGATGTTCTAGGGATAACATCTCTGATTACGCCTTCCTTCGGAAGGGAAGTAAAGCCGTTGGTCCCCGGTTCATGAGTTGATGGGTCGATAGGTAGGGTCCAGGTGTGGGAGCTGCCTTCCTGGCGTCGGTAGCATTGGTACTCAGCACGGAAAACAAGATCGACGGAAAACAAATCAAGGTAGAGATAAACGGTTTGCTGGACACCCAGTAATAAACTGTAAAATTTTTAGCGTCACACTCGCAAGTACGTACGCACCACCTCTACATTGGAGGAGCAGGAAATAACTAAAATTATGTTGGTAAATACACTGGTCATATCTAATAAAATATACATGGCAAAGAGCCTGGTGATCTTGTTGGTGATTCTATATTATTTGTGTATTTGTATGAACAAACTTCTTGAGAAGCTGCGTGCTCCTAAGAAAAATATCGATTTACTGCTTACGTACTTGCGACTGTGAAACTAACAGTTTGACAGTTCATTACTGGGTGTCCAGCAAACCGTTTATGTTAGCTGTATTTTTTGGTAAAAAATGTCGTGTGCTGCCTTTCAGTAAAGCATTGCTTTGCTGATCATGATTCAGCAATCCGTTTTAAAATAAACCCAATTCAACACTGAGAACCTATAAAAATATGTGATAAGCCAGCAGCTTAAAATTCTGAAATCTATATTCTTAAATTGTGCTCGTAGAGCTTTTTTTTTTAGGATACACTCTACGTACCGCTGCCGCCTGGAACGCCTCAACGTTGGTCGCCGCGGCCAGCGACGAGGCCAGCATGTACATCAGGGCCCAAGCTGCACAAAAGTACATTTCTATTTTTAGCCACGGTATCTTGTGAAACTTTTCGCACACATGGAACAGGTAGAAGACCAGCATGATTCCGGTGAACCAGAATCCCACCATTGCCACCGTGTTGAAGAACGATCCCCGAGAGTGATGACTAAAGTATGACACTTCGATGCATATGAACCCGATCAAATTCAGCACGATGCAGACAATCTTGATGATGGCCGGAATGGTTTTGATGTATTCCGGATCGTAACGGATGTACGGCTGGGTCACCGTAGTCGTCTGAGTGACGGTCGCTGTCTGCGAGAAGTCGGTCATGATGTGCCGTTTTTGGATGGAGAATGTCACTGGAAAGAACACAAGAACAACACCGAATAAGGGTCAAGGAAAAACAAACGAACGACCAGCAGCAATATATAGCTAGCAATACGATTAAGTCATAGTACCAATTTTCGTTTCGGTACCTTATCTATGCTTATAGTTACGGGCAGGTTTAATGAGTAAGCGAAACCAGAAAATCGATAGAAACACGAATACATTACACTTTACGGTACACTTTTCGCCTGGTGATCACATTCTACAGCTCAGACGGTGTCTCATTCAAATCACGACTGAATTCATTTTTCTCAGCGTGATGTCAACGCGTGATGAATCTCCCACACACAAGTAAGCGCGCAATAATAAAGATGACTCAAAATCTTCTGAAATTCACACATCTGCTACGACATGACAGACGGTCCAGTCAAGGCTAGTTAATTCGAAACCGTGCTCTGCTTTCATTATTCAACGATTGATTGGTAGCGGATGGGTTAACTCTCTGAAAAAAGCTCACTTCTCCTCTAGGGAGTGGTGCTGCACTTAATTGAAACGCATAAGCAGACATTAAGGAAAGCTACACGCGTGACACAACACTTACCAGACTAGATAATGATGACTCGATTGCCACGGAATGCAATCCCAGAGATGGGCAAGAACACTTGTTGGAGGGCGCGCGCTTACTGAGGATATAGTTTTCGTCACTTCTCCTGGTTCTCAGCTATTTGTTTAGTTGTAAGTACTATACGTTAAGGAATAGGCCTACACAAACGTCTAAATAATATAGTTTGACCACTATCGACTACCTTATACGAAAACGAGAGGCAAATGTTCAACCAACCGAACCATCAAAATAGTGAGGCAACAGTGTTTATAAGTAATCGTCACCAACACCAACACGACGTTTTTTGGAGGCGTATTCGCGCTGAAGTAATCACCACTTGGCATCGTCCCGTTTTCTGATGGTTGTGCACTCCACGGCGCATTGTCCGTGTGTGTATAATGAAAAGATTGTAATAGCAACAACATCAGCGCACATGCGATTTCATTGATGGCATACATGTTGCACGTGTGAAGCTGCCGCCCAAAGTGTGGGTGAGTGCCGAGTTGGGTGTTTGTGACATAGGTAGCTGAAGCAGACGATCGTCGAAAATCGATTGCCAAAGGCACAACAACACACGGGGGAACGCAACGATCGATGAAGGAAGTGTCAAGTGTTGGATGTGGTTTTGTGAGAGTGTATCTTGCAAGCAACATCATCGGTTCAGTCTCGTGTGATTAAATGGTTACTTGCTAGAAGTTTTGAAACACATATTTTTACTCCTTTCTACGGGTTGGTTTATCTCATGTGCGTATAATTATCAGATTATCCTAGTACACTTGATGAAGGCTTATGTAGTTTACGAGCTTTCTATCAATTCCAAATCTAAATTAGCACTTAGACCCCTGGCATAGTGAAAGCTGGTTACCGAGCTGACCAGCTAAAGGAATAACAATTTTAAATAAAATATTTTTTCCGCTCGGTCAGCTTTCACTTTGCCAGGGGCCTTAGATTGCATGATATAACAATAGTTTCAGTAGTCAGAACCAGAGCTGGTAAATATCACGGCCGTCATGTGAGAATGAGAAAACAGATCCTCTCACTATCACGAGACAAAACTACCTATCATTAGTTTTCTTGTCATTTTCCAATGAACAAGCACTCATGAGAATAATTCTATGGCGGTTTTTGCACCTACATTTCTAACTGATTTAGATTAATTCAAGCAAGTAACCGAAGGTAATCGGTAGAGTCAATATATTATTACGATTTTCTCGGAACAAGTAACTTTAAACCCAATAAATAAGCTAGTAATTACGATGATCACAACACTGTCACATTTTGTCATGACGAAAAATTCGATGAGATTTTGAAGAAAATCTCTATCATCGTTTTCTCATCCGATGATAGTGACAGAAGTATTTCTGTAAATATCGCGTGAGATCTTTCATTGAAAATGAAATTTGCCAGCCCTGGTCAGAACACTTACGACGTGTTTGAAACCGGAGTTCCGTTAATTGATACGTTGCGACACGTACTACAATCATAATGAATGATTCTTATAGCGAATTTGTTTATTATTCAGTTCCAACCTGGATCGGGTATCAAGATCGGCTCTGCTTGTTTTCAGACAAACGTCTGTTTGATCGTTTGTTTTTAAAACCTACCTCAGGATGAGGTTCGCACTGACAAAAAGTTCGGTTTCGCACTAATAAACAAATTCGTTATTAGTATGTGTTATTAGGCAGGATTTTTGTAGGAAGTTGTTCAATATGATGCTCGCTTCTTTAAAAAGCATTTTTTTAATATCTTTATCAAAGAGACTTTCAGTCCTGGGCTGGTTCGTCCCCGGAGTTTTAAAAAGCTTGAAACAAATGCTAGACATGCTTCCTATGAACGAGCGACATAGCTGCTCCATAGAAATGTAACGTTATTGGTACATTGGTACATTGATTTTACATTTTAATTGATTAGCCTACCTGATTCTTCATCTTTGTTTAATTTGATATTCTAATTTATTATTTGCGTTTTCGACTAGTTTGCAGAATACCCCTGGGGGGGTGTGTTTGGATTGAATTCAAAAATTTGATAAGCAAGTATTTAATTAAGTAGGTAATCTAAAGCTTAACCCAACGTGCCAGATTTCTAATGATCAGCTGATCGGATTGCCTACAGCAATCTCTGAACCTTTGGATGGTAGCTGTTCTCCGTAACTCCAGCGTCTGAAGATCAACCAGGCGATGGACCTCAGAGTTCCTCATTCGTGGAGGACTGTTGAGAATCATTCGCAAAAACTTGTTTTGGATCCTTTGTAATTTGAGGTGATGGAAATTTGCGCTACTCTCCCAGATTGGGGTGTATTCTATTACACGAAGGATTTTTTTTGCTTAAAGACAGCAAGCTTGTTTTTCAGGGACAGAGTGGATCGCCTGTTGATGAGTGGATGTAAGGAACTCATTAGGACGTTACATTTGGTTTTTGTTTTGTCAATGTGTTCCCTGGAAAGCCGCTTGCTGTCGAGTGTAAAGCCAAGGTACACTACCTCTTTTGACCATTCCACCATTCAAGTTGATGTTATTATTCTCAGACGGAACAAGTCTGGGTGATTTGGAATGAGGAAAGATGATCGCAACAAGGCCAAAAACTGGAGCAGCCCTAGGGCCAATAAAGATACAACTGATGTCAATACTGGTTTAGCAGTTTAAAATCAATTATTACGATAATTGTGATGGAAATTGAACAGATTCATATCGAATAATTATTCAGAATTTTTAAAACTTCAATTTAATGGCAATGGTTACTACCTAATATAGAGTTTATAGTTCTTTTTAAATGGAAAAAATAATAATTTGACTAGTTCCAACACAGGCTCACCTACCTTACCTAACATACACTTGCATTACATAAAAAACTTCCTGTTTAACACACTCCGTCAGCAAAGGCAACCAACATGCATTTGATTACAGTCGAGGGGTGAGTTAATTCCAATTATAACGTATGAAAAATATGTTTTAATTAAAGACTTGAACACGACAAAAAAATCGTTTCTTTCAGTCAAAATTCATATTACAAAAATCTTCTTATTTTTCTTTTGGTAGTTCAATTCATATATTTAAAGGAAAAAATATTCGTTTATTCTTTTGGTTTGCCAAATCCAAACTGCCGTGTCTTTCGCTTAACCCCTTCCATTAAATTTTGCACAGTGGTCTCATCGACCTTATTCGCCTCCGAACGCCAGTTAGATTTAAACTGATGCTGGTTTGGAGGGTTGTGGTCTTTAGGTACCACAACCACGTTGTTCGCATCGTACCACTAGATTGCTTTTTTCCCATAGTGGCAGCTCGCCAAGTCCGGCCAAAACAGCACAGGTCTATTATGTTGCCTTAGACATGGTAGCATCCGCTTTTCCAGGCATTCCTGGATGTAGATCTCTTGACTGATGGTTCCCGTAGTAATGAAAATGCCGCTTTTTAGACCACACGTGCATATGGCCTGTCAGACGAGATATTTTTTCGGGAACTTCGATAGTTTGATGGTTTAGAAAATTTCAGCCACCTTCCCTCTTCCTGATGCGATATAAAACTCCTGTCCCGGAAGCTGCTTGAAATCCGCCTTCACATAATTTTCGTGTGAGAACGTCGGATTCGAGTAAAATGCGAGTAAAATTTCAACACACTGCTCCTCTTGCTTGGACGTCATTTTGAAAACTGGAGAGCAAACGTTGAAAACTCATCATAGCAACCATTGTACACAGCAAAAAAATGTAATATCGATCAATGTAATTCAAGCTGATGTATAAAATAATGATGTAATAGCAAAAAGCCGATACAATATTACATCAATGGATGTAATTTTGTTCGCAAAATCGATGTATATCGTACAACGTTATATTACACAACCGATGGATTGACCTGGTTGCAGCAGTTTGGATGTAATATTCAACAATTTTTTTTTCTGTGTATATGCACTCAACTTTCAAATGCAGCATTTCAGGATTTTTTAATGCATTTTTAACAGAAATACACCAATTTGAAGTTGACCAATTTTTGCGCGTTCCAGACTTTATATTCATTTCGATCACTGAAAAAAGTTGTGCACAATACTTAAGTCTATAGGTACTTATGGGAACACGAAATTATAGTTTGAACAAGTTTTGACTTAAATCTCTGTTGAAGCTTCATGCTTCATGCTTTCCCTCGTAATATTTATAGACTACATTAGTAGCCTTTTTTGACACAAAGGCGCGCTTGTTGGCCTAAAACCGTGTCTCCGAAAAAACAAATGAGTGTACTATATTGTTCATACAGTATATTTGACTACATGTTGTGGAGTAATGCCTGCAACAATTTATACAGACGCTTGATCCATCAGCTATATCTAAACGAACAATTCAAAAGGTCTTATCTGCTTTGATCGATTTTCTTCATCGACTTTCTCTCTCGTTAATAACTTTTTCATGCTAATTTCAGGTTTGCAAAATGCAAATCTGCTTTATTTTAGGACGGCTATCAATGAAAAATAACCTTATCTAGTTTTTCCTCATTATTCCGGCGCTACTATAGGTACACCATTATTACTGGAACACGTACCATTAGACTGATGCAAAATTTGACTTTTTCGCTCCACAGTGCTTAAATGGTTTCAAATCGGGTCCTGATTAGCCTCCAAAAGTTACAACTCATTTGGTTAGAAACAGACTTCGCACAAACCATTTGAAGTTAACATGTAAATTACTATGAGAAATCTCAATTTTTTGTTCATTGCCTTCTAGTCTTTTGCCATATTGAGCTGCGAAAAAGTTCGATAGCCATTCTTATAGAAAATTTTCTCAGCTACAACTTTGCTCAAGATCATTTCTATGTAAAACGAGACAGGAAAAAGTTATTAATTATTTAAGAGATTGGTAAACTTATGACATGATCAAGCAGCTGCTCTGTAGGCAACACTGAATTTTGCAGTGTGACATAGTAGCCATAATTTTTGTGTCCTATTCAACGCCCCAGAAACACCAATGTTGCCTGCTGAGCAGTTGATTGAGCATGATCATAAGACATCAGCGCATGGAACCATTGATAACTTTCGATCCTTGCATTTAATCAAAAAGTGGTCTTGAGCAAAGTTGTAGCTGGGAAAACTTCCTACAAGTACAGTTGAAAGCTTTTGAAGCAGACCGATATGGTGAATTATTAGATAGACATGAACAAAAATCTTGGTTTTACCATAGTAATTCCCATACAAATTTCAAATGGTTTGTGCCATCTCAGTTTCTCACCAAATGGGTTCAAA